TATAAACTATAACTCTATAACCAACTTACAACTAGGGGGCCCCACATTGTAGACGTGCTATCCTCCTCCTCGGTGATAAATGAGCAGTGGCTGCGTTGCGTTCGACCCCTGACGGTTGATGATTAGTTCGGGATGATATAATATATGATCCAGTAAATTGGGATTATAATTTAATCCATTAGAAGGGGAATCCCGAACATGATGACCCTGACATGAATTGAAAGTTTGGGAGACGACTTTTTCTCCGTGAAGTGTGTGATTAGTTGGGGGGTCTATGTTTGTTGGGAGGATGGACTATTTCTCAGGCATAGATTTGGGGGATATACAGATATACAGGGTGATGTTGCACAGTTGTTTTTTTTTTTCGGGGGGGATATCTAAAGTTAGCCAGTACCCATAGGATCCATGTATGCTATATATGGTAACATGGATCCCATCAATATACCCCATTTATGTTAGCATATATATACCAGCACCATTGATCCTATGGGTTATGATACTTGAAGTCCCAATATGTTCCAAATGTATTCAACTGTTGTCCTTGTTGAAGAGACACCCCACTATGGCTCATGGTCGATCCGTTGTTGGCATCCCCTCAGATGATTACCCTCTGGTAAACATACAAAAAGCTATGGAAAATGGCCATAGAAATAGTGAGTTTTCCCATGAAACATGGTGATTTTCCATAGTTAAGTTAGTTTACCAGATGATTAATTATTATGTCTGGGCAGGTTGCAAATGCCGCCCAGATGATACATGAAAAAAAGTTGACAGTTTGACGGCTGTGCTGGCAGTGCTGGTCTGCCAATCCGCAAACGTGTTCTCCTAACTTCTTCAATGCTTGCTTCTTCATCACCCACCATGTATTAAAGCGTTGCCCTGGTTCTCCCCACTTTACTTCTTCTTTGTCTCCACTTTTGCTGTATAATGTGACAAATCAGTATGAATCGACACCTATTCAATACCTATTCTACAAGATATAGTAATAAGTAATAATCTATTAGATATAGCTATATATATATATATGTCTATAGTATACATGTACATTATTGCAGGATATTGTAGGGCTTATTCAGTTCTTCACATAGACATGATTTCACGAATCCATCGCGACGCGATGCCGACTCTTTCCAGGTCCACGGAGGACTCCGGGCTCCAGGGGACAGCACTCGAGTTGCGCCTGACAGGTCGCGCAGCGGCCTAGGGAAAACCTGTTTTGATGGGGATTTCCTGGGGATTTCCTGAGGATTTTACCAAGAGAACTGGTGATGTGGGATTAGCCGCCAGAAACGGTGATGTTTCACGATATTGGATGGTGATTTCATGGTGATTTCATGGTGATGTCATGGTGATTTGGCCATCTGGATTTTTGGGACATGGGATTAACCACCAAGGATTTTGCCCACCAACTATGACTGAAAACTCGATCCATGGAACTGGCAAAAAAAACTGGCTTCGTTGAACCTTTCGGGAACTGGGGAAGTTCCAATCTTGACTGTTTTTTGTTGTTTCTTTTGTAGGTTTTGAAGAGTTCAGTTTTGAATAGGGTTTCCCATCTTCAGTTTATCCAATTTATGGCAATGTGTTTCTAATGCGGGAAACATATATAAATTATTCAAACGACTGGATGATAGGGGTACCCTCCAGTCAGCAACATATGGAAAATCCAGAAAATGTGTTGGTGTTCCCATAGAAAACTGCCCATTTCTAGGGTGACATCGCCATGTTGGAGTGGAGGGTACCCTGAGGTAAAGCACCGAGCTTGGCGCGGCCACAATGTTGGCGTGAGGAAGAAACACGTCAACATTTCTGCGAGAGCATCGGACTTTTGGCAAGACGTTACGAGACGTTACGAGTTTTCCGGTAGAATCCACTGGTGAATAATCATATTCCCATACCCATAGGATCCATGGTGCTGGTATATATGCTAACATTTTTATGGGGTATATTGATGGGATCCATGTTACCATAGCAGCACCATGGATCGGGATATTAACTCCAAATGTCCACTATTCATTTCCTCCACAAAAATGGAGGTTTCCTGAAATGGACCCCCCAAATCAATCCATTGGTTCGGGGATTTTCCATTCCAAAGCACCCAGCTATTGGTGAATCCCAGATACTGCTCTGAGAATATCCACTTTTTATTCCCTCCCACATATGCCACGTTTTGTGAGGCCCACAAACGTTATGTTTGTATATGTTTGTTGGTTAAAAAAAACAGTAACTAGTGCATAGTTCGTTATTTGCGTACCATAAGCCATAGTGAAATTGGAGTGATTAGTTCACCCCAACTGAATGCGATTTCGGGGCCGGGGGCCTCACATATGCCACAGATATGTTGGCATTCCGCGTGGAGACCCAGGACCCTTCTTGGAGCAGCACCAAGACGACTGGAGCGACAGGCGCAGAAAATTTCTGCTGGTCACTTGGGTCCGAGGTGCTACCCCATAGCTATGTTGGTGTTAGATGGTGTTAGAACTCATATAACTAGGCCTAGGGTTTATGGATGTTTATGGGCTGAATCTATCATTAGTTACCTAGTAAGTAGCTTATAACATGTTATAACCACAGTTTTTAATTTGTGTACATACCCTACCTAGACCATCTATGATAAGGCTTACTTCGCAGTGCTATAACTAATTTACAAAGGTTTAGGATGAACCAGCCCCAATGACTGAGTCTAAGCCATGGGATGGCTTTTGCAGCACAAAAAGGCGGCTGGGAAGATCATCATGGGCTGTTGGAAACTACGGTGTTTGTTTCAACTGTTATATTGATACCCTCTGGTTATGTCAAAATAGCTATTGAAAATGACCATAGAAATAGTGGATTTTCCCATTAAAAACGGTGATTTTCAATAGTTTTTTGTATGTTTACCAGAGGGTATATGTTGATAAAGGTAGGAAATGGCCGGGTTTTCAGCAATGGCCTTTCGGCTCATTTTTCTGTTGCCATTCTCACCCAAAATGCTGGCTACTGCTAGCTGACCACGGGCTTGCGGCTGCTTGCTGCTTGCCGCAGCTGGAGGAGCTTTGAATCTTTCCAACGAGCTCTTGGGGCGGTTCTTTCCCGCGGATTCCTCAGTCAGGGCCAAGGACGGAGATGGGGCAGCCTGTTCGATGGTGGCTGGTGAAGCCTGGTGAAGGCTTGGTGGATGGTTTGATTTTGAGCTAGAAATCGAACTGGTACTATATGATATATATATATATATATGAATTACTTCTCTAAAAGTGACCGGGTCATGATAGCTGATGATAGCTGTTTGTTTCTTTGCAGGAGTACGCAGCTGCAATCTCTCGGGGCACTGTCCCACCTGGGGAAACGAAAGAAGTGACCCAAGTTAGTGGGTTTTAGGCCTAGTTACAAGTGGACAAACCCCACTTACCCTACTTCAACTCTAAGCCACTTACTTGGGTGGACCAGAAAGTATAGTGTGGAGGTTAGGTTACTGATTGTTTTTCTATTTAACCCCACCCGTAGTTGTAACTTGTAACTATAGAATGTTTGATAGTCAATCTGATCGCCCCTTATCATGATTCATGCATGAAGAAAACATCCTACTTGATTGGGCCTGATTGGGTGAACTTGCTTTATCATAGAACGCTACATCCACCAGAGGTCAAGGTTGATGGCAGACATGTGGGTTACAAACTAGACGGAATTCTCCCAATAGGGTTGCCATCAAAAATCCGGGGCAGGACCCTTCATGGTGCCATTTGCTGATGCCTTCAACCATGCCACCCTTGGAACGACGCTTGGTCGCAACCTGGGATGCTGGAAACCCTAACGGCGTCGAACGGTCAACCGAGTTGTCCTTGCCACATAGATTGCCCCGGCGTGAGGAATGGGTGCCAGCTGGAAGGATGCAGCTTGGCGTTGACAATTGGCTGGTGAAGGGGTTGTTTTGTTTTGCCACAAAGGGGAACATGGATGTTTTGTCTAAAAACACCCGCAGCACGCACGGCATGTGCTACGGGGAGTCACTTTATGTAAAGGGAAACAATCCACCACCCCTGTGTGAACTATTACATTGATTGAAGACGTTCAATTCAGGCCCCTCAGCAACATAGCACAGGTGCTTGCCGTAAAGAAAGGGTACCCCCAATCCACGGGTTAATGAATGATCAGTTCCCCTATAAAAATTGCCGTAACTTGGCGGCTAGGGGCCCTATTTTCAGACATGCCCAAATATACTCGTGGAAAATGAGTTCTCTTGGCAGGGTATCTAAGATGAACCATAATCGTTTGGATAAATCCTCACTGTCCGTTGGCGAAATCCCAGTGTTGACGAACACCACAGGGTATCCCCCTTCACTGCAGGGACGGCCCAATCATGAGAATCATGATAGCATCTGGAGCAAACAATGAGTACTTGGGGGTGCATCCTTAGGAAATGGCTTATACCCTCAGCTATACTAATGTACAGTATTCCGTGCATATCCCCAGTTATATACGGTAATGTGTTATACATGGGTCACTAGGTGTGATGCACATCCAAGTATGTATTCGGGGTTCGCACAATTTGATTAGTGGTTTCCGACACAAGTTATTTTTCCTTCCCATCCCTTACCCCCACTTGAAGCACATATGTTTAATTATGTTGTGGGATATTTCAACTAGGTTTTGGGATAGGTGCAAACCACCAGAGGAATGATTATTGAATACTGAAATTTACATTTTGTGTGCTTGGCTAGGCACATACCCAATTGGGTATATTTTTGTGGTTTATATACACTAGTGTTGTGTTAGCACCCTTTCTTGTTGCTAAGTTTAGCAACTGTTCTTGTTGTTACCCTCTGGTAAACTAACACAACTATGGAAATCATCATTTTCCACTGGGTAAATCCACTATAAATCCCATGTTCAATAGCTATGTTAAATTACCAGAGGTTATTTAATGTTCTTCTTTAATGAACAAACGTATGTTTCTTGCTGCTTAAAACCTGCAACATAAAAATTGGTTGGGGTCAGGTGCTGCAGATGGCCTGGCGTTCGTGATGCGACAAGTGCGACCCGTGGCGCAGGGAGAGGAAATCTTCAACACCTACGGGCCTTTGCTCCTTGGTTTATCAATTTGGGGATCAACGGGTTGATGGAAACCTGTTGCTGTCCACCTTACCCTCTGGTAAACTAACATAGCTATTGAATGCTATTGAAAATGGCCATTTATAGTGGATTTACCCATTAAAAATTGTGATTTTCCATAGTTACGTTAGTTTACCAGAGGTATAGCAACCAACATCAGCCAACCATTTGATAGAGGCGCCCTTCCGTCTCAAACCAATCGTTTGCTGCTGGTACCAATATTGTGATCTCTGAGTTGGGTCAGTTGAGTGAGATGCGTGCCAGAATCATACAGCTACAGTTTGTAACCCTATGTACAGTACTTAGACTGGCAAATGCCTTGACCCTCACTTGATCTAGAAAAATCGTAACATATTGCTAACAAAATGAAATTACAGACAAGATGCATGTGTTCCATTGTTCTTTTTAGGTCCAAATGTCACTATAAATTGGGACTATAATCCATTCAATATGATATACACTCCGGTAATCAATTAATAGATCTTGACTGAAAATAGCTTACCCCCTAATTTAACATATTATCACCATGTTTCCATATATTTCCCATTTTCAAGTGGCTATCTGGAACTTTCCTAAGTCATGGGGGTACCCCTAGTTGTCATCCATGTCATTTTCGGATTTTCCATGAAATGAACATAAATAAACCAACCAGCGGTCTTGGTGATCCCCCATTTACGGAAACATCCTTTTGACGGTAAAACACACCCAGGTGGTTTGAATTTTCTGGATCCATTTTGGCCAAGGCCATCGGCTCAGCTCTTCTCGTCTTTCGGCTTTGCAGGCGTGAACTTTAGTGGTGGGAGAGAGCCAACTGGCGTAGAGATAGACAGAATTAAGGAGGTAGTCGTGGTATGATCTAGGTGATACCACTAATACCATAATACCATAAACCACTGATATCCAATTTATTTCATATTCTAGCCATTCATTAAATATTATAAGTTACAATACTCAATACCATAATGCTAGGACATTGAACAAGCTCACGCTGCCCACCATGATGCGGAAACAAGAGCCCTCTTATTACCTCGGGTCCGGGGCGGCACCAGTTCTCAGTGGTAATCGAAAACCATCGAAGTCACCCAATATATGTCAGAAGCGTTTTAACAGTAACGTATACATAAATATCTGGGTAAATTATAACGACCTTACTGCGACCTCACTGGAATCATGGTTAGTAAGGGAAATCATCCCCAAATGGCCGAACAATTCAGGTTAGTGATTTTTTATAATTTACCCAGATAAATATTCATCATTTTCATTTGCACGCACGATGGGTTATAATCTTTTTGGTGGTTTGATTGATATAGTTCTACGACGTGCTGCCACCCAGTTATGTTTAACATGGGAAGATAATGGGAATTTGCACAGAATGTGATTCATTCTGAATGAACCGAATGGTAGGACCCCAAAGAATAACCCAGGAACAAATATTGAAAACATATATAGAAAATCCTGATTTGCTGATTTGCCATTTTAAATGCACAAAGCGAAACAGTCAACAATAAACCTCTATGGAATATTTTGGCAGACCAACGGGAGATGGATAGTCTAGTGTAGTAAGTCATGTTCCTGCAATGTTCGCCAGAATCCAATCTTAGCGGATCATGGTTATTCCAAGTTGGCAACATCCAACAAGAATCAAACAAGATCGAATACGCATAGCTTTTCAATCTGACACAATGCACAATGCAAAACAAAAATCCAACCAAATCTGACACATCACCTGAATGTGGCTCGTGGGTGTGCCTGGAACATGTCCCTCAAATAGCATTTTTAATGGGAAACATTGTGATGATCCTATCAATTCAACGGTGCAATTTGTCAAACAAAATCTAACTAACACAACGATTTATGGAAAATGGACAATTTATAGATTATAGATGATTTACCTATTAAAAATGGTGACCTTCCAGTTCAATATGCTGAACTACCAGAGGGTAGCTGTTGTTTGAGCATCCTCTTCTAACTCGGAAGATCTCGTCGATCCTTGCCAGGCGACAGGTTGAACCCTTACGACGGCAGAAACTGTTTCAACCTGGCTCAGCGCTACCTGAAGGCTACGAGCGGCGAACGGCTCCGTTGACCCGTGATTTTCATAGGGTCAATTGGATCGATCGTTACATTTTTTGCCAGACAGTTCATTCCTTTTTTGGTTTGCTAGAATCTAAGATTGGACATATTAAAAAAAATGTGGATATGGATGTTCCAATTTCCCCCAGCCAGGTAACCTGGATTATCTAAATGTGTCAGTACTTGTTGATTTATTGAATATTATAAGTTGTTCTTGTCCAATTGGTTAATCCACTATTATAATGTATCTATGATTGGGAAATTTTCTAAATTTCATGATGTTTTGCCACCTTCAAATCCGAGCAAGATTAGGAGGTTTCCTAAAATAGGGGTACCCCCAAATCATCCATTTTTATGGGATTTTCTAGATACATTATCCATTTTGGGGTACCTTTATTGTAGGAAACCTCCATATGTGATCTCCCAAAACCGATGAATTGAGATTCCCCATCCCTCTGGGTCCAAGTCCCTCCTGAAAAGCTACGACTTTTTTCAGCACGCCACGCCATCATGCCCCCGAAATCTTCACAAGGAAGGTGTCCAGAAAGTCGGAGTCATATATCTGGGTAAATTATAACGACCTCACTGTTCTCCCGAGCCCTGGTATCATGGTTTATTTTAGGGAAGTCATCCCCTTTTATGGCCTCAATTCAGATTAGTGAATTATTATAATTTACCCAGATATATATTAGGGTCTGACAATGAGGTTATATATCCCAAAACAAAACATCTCAATACGGAAAAAAAAATCGGAACCATGATAGATCACGGATTGTTTTTTTGGGGTAGACGATTTTCAGACAAACCCATATAACTACAATGTGACCCCCCCAGTTATAAGTTGGTTTAGATTCGCCCCAGCAACTATAGTTATAAGTACCATAAACCATAGTGAAATAGGAGTTATAAACCAACTTAGCTATCGAACGGGGGCCTCACATTGTACCAGTGTGTTTTGTTTGAATGCGAAACACATGAATCCCCATGTCTCCATCCAGCCGTCGGTGAGTTCGTTTCAGGTGTTTCTGGACATTGCCCCTACCGTAGAATGACAAAAGACACCGACAGAACAACAATAAAATATGGTCACCGACAGAATTATGGAAAAAAAAAACGTTCAACTTAGACAGGCGGCGCCTGCGTCCGATTTTTCCATAATTAGGTTTTTCCCCATAAGGGTTCAAAATATCCCGGAAGTGATCCGAACCTTTTTTTTCCCATAATTCTTGGAGGTGGCCATTATTTCCATAATTGATTTTTCCTGTAAAATCAGGGGGCTAGGGCAGATTGACCGGTTTTTCCATATTTTTTTTTCCATAATTATTTTTTCCATAATTAATTGTTCCATAATTAATGTTTGGGGCTCCACCTGTTGGACATGTCATGGATCCACAATTCAAACCCCTTTTTTTGGGGGGTTATGGAAATACCGTAGATGGACGAATTATTCAAACCCTTATACATAGAGCAACCCCCCTCACCCCAAATATCAATGTTATTTTCTTGTTTGGTTCGTTCCTTCGAATGGACGAAATAAATCAAACCCCCAGAGCAGGAACAGCGCTACGAAACCATAACATTGAAATTCGGGGGAGGTAGGGGGTGGCCTATAACTCATGGATAGGGGTTTGAATAATTTGTCCATCTACTGTCTTAAGCGTTTATTTTTCCTCATCTTTTCGCATTTTTTCGCATACGATCCCAAGAACTCAAACATTGCTTTAACAAGTGTCATCACGTGTCACCACTTGTCCGAAAAAGCACGCCCAGTAACAACACTATTAAGGTGAATAATAAGGCGGTCCACCTGCTTGTTCTTGTTCTTGTCGTTGTCGTTGTTGTTGTTCTTCTTCTTATTCTTCTTGTTTGTTGTTGTTGTTCTTGTTGTTCTTGTTGTTCTTGTTGTTCTTGTTGTTCTTGTTCTTGTTGTTCTTGTTGTTGTTGTTGTTGTTGTTGTTGTTGTTGTTGTTGTTGTTGTTGTTCTTGTTCTTGTTCTTGTTCTTGTTGTCGTTGTTGTTGTTGTTGTTGTTCTTGTTCTTGTTCTTGTTCTTCTTGTTGTTGTTGTTGTTGTTCATCTTTTTCTTGTTGTTGTTGTTGTTCTTCTTCTTCTTCTTCTTTTTCTTCTTGTTGTTGTTGTTGTTGTTATTGTTGTTGTTGTTGTTCCCTTTCCTGGGCGTGATAGAAAATGCTGTGTTTTTCCAGTTCCCTTTCCCGGGCGCGATTGAAAATGCCGTGTTTTTCCAGTTCCAATCGCGCCCGGGAAAGGGAACTGGAAAAACACAGCATTTTCAATCACGCCCAGGAAAGGGAAGAAGGAGAAGAACAACAACAACAACAAGAAGAAAAAGAAGAAGAAGAAGAAGAACAACAACAACAACAACAAGAACAAGAACAAAAACAAGTAGGTAGGACAAACACAGATGTGAAACAGAAAAACGCACTTGCGCAATATCTTTCAGTACATCATCATTAAAATCATCCAAAAGTCAGCTTCGTCAAAATCTTCATCATGAGCCTTAGTTGGCCAATTCAAAATGTTCAATGCACGTCTGTCACCTAATTCATATATTCGTACAATATGTGTTGAACAAAAAGTGAAGCTTACCATTCGCTATAGACTCCTGCTGACCACCACCACCAGTACCGTAGATGGACGAATTATTCAAACCCTTATACATAGAGCAACCCCCCTCACCCGAAATATCAATGTTATTTTCTTGTTTGGTTCGTTCCTTCGAATATCCCCCCCCCCCTTTAAGGGGGGGGGTGGGGGCCCACACCTAGAAATATTTCACCTCCCTAAAGTGAAATATTTCAGCTCAAAAATTCTGGTCTACAATGGTCTCCGGGCGTAGTTGAATTCAAGGCTGAACGTCATGTTCTGAAGGCTATTTGGCAAGTTCACTCTCTTATACAATACTCACAAGCCTGTCTGTAAGTATGTTTGTGTCCCCCCCCCAAAAATATATATATATATGGCATCCGGAGGACCCCCCCACGTTTTTTAGAAGCCCAAAAAAATACGTGGGGGGGGGTATATTTCACGTGGTCAGGTGAAATATTTCTCAGAAATTTCTTGCCTTACGCCCCCCGCAAATATTCCAGGGTTAAAGGGGGGGGATCTTCGAATGGACGAAATAAATCAAACCCCCAGAGCAGGAACAGCGCTACGAAACCATAACATTGAAATTCGGGGGAGGTAGGGGGTGGCCTATAACTCATGGATAGGGGTTTGAATAATTTGTCCATCTACTGTATGTATTCAAACCCCTGTTGCGCGAGACCTGATTTTTCAGCGGCGGCAGTTGATTTTTGGATTTATTGTCGGGAAGCTAATGGTGAAATGGGGTTTACATGTACATACCCGTATACATGATATTATGTATATCAATGGCAGGCTTTAGGGGCATATACCAGATCTTTAGACACATATTTTCTATAATTCAATATTCCCCCTTAAAATGCATTCAAATTGCGAACATCACATGATATTATGTATATCAATGGCAGGCTTAGGGGCATATACCAGATCTTTAGACACATATTTTCAATATTCCCCCTTAAAATGCATTCAAATTGCGAACATCACATGATATTATGTATACCAATGGCAGGCTTTAGGGGCATATACCAGATCTTTAGACACATATTTTCTATAATTCAATATTCCCCCTTAAAATGCATTCAAATTGCGAACATCACATGATATTATGTATATCAATGGAAGACTTAGGGGCATATACCAGATCTTTAGACACATATTTTCTATAATTCAATATTCCCCTTACAATGCATTCAAATTGCGAACATCACATGATATTATGTATATCAATGGAAGACTTAGGGGCATATACCAGATCTTTAGACACATATTTTCTATAATTCAATATTCCCCCTTAAAATGCATTCAAATTGCGAATCGATGGACATACAGTCACCGACAGAATTATGGAAAAAAAATAATTATGGAAAAAATAATTATGGGAAAAAAAAGGTTCGTAACTTTTCTATCATAGACAGGCGGCGCCTGTAAATTGAAACGTTTTTTTTTCCATAATTCTGTTGGTTCCTGTAAATCTGATATACTAAATATGGAACCATATGGTATATAGTAATACCCAATATAAAATATATGGAACCATAAGATATACTATACAATTTTTGATATACTAAATCCATATAATCACCATGATAATACTAAATCCATAATAATAATCCATATAATCCATATACTAAATCTGCAATGACAATAGATTTTCCATATCACCATCCATCGCAGGCGCAGGAAAGGAAAGGCCCACGTTGCCTCTTGGCTGCGCGCTGCGGGGCGCGCAGCACGCGTCGCCAAGGTGTGGTGTGGTGGTTTTCCTAAGAAATGGACACTGAGGCCTTTTTCCCAATGTTTTGGTTCATCATTTTCATGTTTGTTTCTGTATGATGATTTTACCCGCAATCAATGGGGATTCTTACGCGATTCACCATGATTCGATTTAATCATCTTTCAATATGCAGATCGCCTATATTCATATCAGTGGGTCTTAGAATGCGGGAGGTGATTGGTTGGTGAACGGGAAAGTGTTTGGCAATTTTGATACAGGAATACATATATATATATATATCATTATATATGTGTGTGTGACACACTCAGTATCGAAGGTTCCATATGTCTATTCGATAGCATCGTTTCATGTTCAACTTGGAATATGTTGGAAAAGGGAAGAAACATAAAGTAGAGCTGGCAGTGAAAGACAAGAAGCACAAGAAACGCAGGAGGAAGAGGATGATTAGTTACGAGATGAGAGCATCATCAGATGCTAATTCTTTGGATATCTTGGGCCAAAGATAGAAAGGTGGTGAAAGGTGACCATCAGAATCACAACGAACTGATGTTCTCGGGCGTGGAGGTGGGCGTGCTTGGAATTTAAACATTTATCCTGGTTGGTGGTTTCAAACATGAATGTTATTTTCCATTTCATATATGGGATAATCCTTCCCATTGACTTTCAGATTTTTCAAGATGGTTATTGCACCACCAACCAGTTATTGTTTTGGGCGATGATTCACAGTACTTGATTGACCTATTGCCTTTTCACATTTTTCTTGTGGGTTGCAGCCACACTGATGTACTATTAATGTGGAACGGTGAACAGACTGAGATCTGGTGAACCCGTGGTGAACGCGTATTGGATTGAACACCACATTGGAATGTGGATCCAGTTATTCCATCGTGGTATGACTCACAACAAGACTTTGCCAGTGTCTCCAAGGTATGTCTTTTTTGGTGCAGACGGATCTCAAAAGCTACATGTTGGCAAAGACCAACCCCCTTTGGTTGATGGTTATAGGTCATAAGAAATAGGGAAATCGTTTCTACATTGTTTTGACTGCTAATTCGGAGCCAATTGAATGTCCCCGTGGATTGTCAAGAACACCCAAACCGCCAAACAAAATCATTGGACAAAATATACCGAGCCGACTGGCAGACCCAAAGATGGAAAAGCAAAATCCTAGCACAGTTCGTGATGAGTATAATAAAATAGGAGAATCACTTTCCAGTGAATCCAAAGTTGTGAATCCTCACCACTAATAACTGACTTATCCATACTTATCCGATTTTTTTTAATAGTAAGGGTATGTGACTACCCTACTGATCATAAGGCAAAGCCTCTCTGGAATGTGTCCTAGGATGTCAAGGCCCCCCTTTGCCTTGCCACATCCAGAAAGCGCGCCGAGCCGTTCCTCGGCGAAGTGGATCGCGCAATGGTGTTGGTGGAAAAAAATATGAACAAATTACATCCAGAATCCATTGACCATAGTGAACATAGATCAGATTCAGATATAAATATATATATATATAATCTGGGTAAATTATAACGACCTCACTCTTCGACCTCACTGGAAATCATGGTTAGTAAGGGAAATCATCCCCAAATGGCCGAACAATTGAGGTTAGTGAAATATTGTAATTTACCCAGAAATAATGTATATACACCCATATATATAATGTATTTACACCTATATATACATATATATTATATTATACATATATATATATATTATACACATTACATATATATATATATACCATAAAGTCAACTTAGTGACATAACAGTGAACATGTTGGTTCTTTCAACCAGCTTTGCGATTCCGAAGTGCAGCAAAATGACACCGAAACCGGTGGTTACTGGCACCATTCCCTGTAGCTACCATTTATAACACACTTTTAAGTACAATATCACAGAGTTTCAAATATAGCGCATATGATTTTACACTTATATCATATAATATATTGTAATGTCCGTTTATAGTGTACATATTATTTATATATATATATATCACACACGCACACTTTCATGCGAGATGTAGTCAAAGAAACAATCTGGTGTCCTAGTTACAAGTGGGTCTATCACTAACTATAGGCATTTCATCACCATAAACCCATACATTTTCCCATGCTACATTTTCGTCAAATCCCATTGAATCCCCGAAATCACCATTTGTTGTTGGTGAAATCCCACTAAATCATCATTAAACTCCAGTAAATCCCATTCAATCACCATTGAATCACCAGTAAGTCACCATTATCAATGGATTGGTTTAAGGGAAAATGTACAGGAAAAAAAAACATATTTACTGTGAAAATCGATGGTTTCCGGTTCCGATTTCCCAACAAAACCAATCCATTGACATTCGCGTGAAATCTCCCAAGGTGCGCCAGGCACGGGCCAAGCTCGGTGACCAAACGCCGAGGACCGGCGCCCTCCAGGCGTATCGCGCTGCGGAGCGACGATGCTTGCAGCACGCAGCACGGCATGATCTCGTGGGGATTTCTCCATGGGATCCATGGGATGTCTATCATTCAATGGGGAACCAGACTGAAAATGGAAAATCCATGATCCATTTCTATCCCATTATAATATATATTATAATATATATATATAATATCACATGGGGATATGGCCCGTGTATAGTATACTGATGTATACTGCTGGTTTATGGTGGTTTGATGTTGAGGCCACAAAGGATTTGGGGGTGAAATCAACAGGCAGCAGATCTTTGGCAATTTGGGATTGTTCCATATTTACCTATTGGACTTTTGGATCAAGACTCAAAACCCTAGATACTGTCAACATGAACAGGGAGATGAAGGTCCGTTTGATTCTCGGCTACGTTTTTTTTTAAAGCTTAGGGCACCAAGGTTTTAACGCACACTCCCGTGACTTTAAGCTGTCCGTGACTTGTCCCGCTGACTCCTTATTTGATCTTTGTTGGTCTAACATGGCTCGCTGAGATATTCCCTATACATGGGTGTTTGAATGTGAACAAAACATCTATGTGAGGATTTTCCATTAGATTTTTTGATGAATGGTCACTGCGGAATTGATTGGTATATCTGAACAAGATACAGACTAGTATTTGTGTTTGTCTTACAATGGTCAAGACCCCAAAATGGTGCCTTAAGTAAAGGTAAAATGAATTAAAATGATGATGAACACACGGGAAATGTTGGGTGCTCCACTTTTGGCACCCCCATTTTGGGGGGGTCACCATAGTGATGCTATATTGGCATGGGAACGGCAACACTGAAAATATACACACAGGAATTGGGATACAATCAGCAGGTGGTTGCAAGTGTGCTTAAAATGGCGATAATACTATATTGAACTTGGGAATACAAGCAGTTGGTCGCATTAGGGATAGGGCAATTCCCAATTTCTTGCTTTAGCCACATTGATTTTGGGATGTCTTGGAGACAGGCACCCGTTCAGCCTAAAGGAATCAACAGATTTCTCGTCATCGTGGATTTTACTCTACAGTTTGGGGCTGTATCCTGTTACGGATAAGATCCATGGTGCTGGTATATATGCTAACATAAATGGGGTATATTGATGGTAAATGTTACCATATATAGCAGCACCATGGATCCTATGGGTTATAGTGTAGCCGCTAGCCTGTTTTTCCCCAAGACCACTTCCAATGAATTGATCTAGGGAACACGTCCACGAAACCCCGGGCTTTTATAACCTGTCTGGCCACGGTACTCAGGTTGAGTCGGCACTCACAAGAATGCTGTCTCAACGGCGACTGCTGCCTTCTCGCGCCAAAATGCGAGCCAAAAAAGAGAGGAAAAGGGTCCTTTCTGTACAGAGATGGGCCTGTAAGCATAACCAGACAAAAACACCTGAAAAAAACAATTGTAGGGCAACTAAATAACTATTGTATATCTTCGGCATAGATGGGGTCTACCACACCACTTGGATCATCCGCTAGTCAAAAATCAGTTAAACAATCCAATCGTGATGAAGGAATATGTACTGTAAAATGATAGAAATATCAGCTTCCAAATCTGCATATCTCACATAATTCACTAAATGCACACTTTGTTGGAATCACTTCAATAATCATATATATATATATACACATGGCACTTAGATTCTTGGATGAACCCAGCTGCCTTTAACATGCCCTGAGGCCAAGCCTTCTGCGAAGAAGGAAGCGCAGCCTAGCAAGTTCCCGGCCTTGGGCGTGGGGAGATGGGAAGCCAGGATTATGTTCTACAGTAAAAGATAATGTATATGTATATATTATGGGTAAATTACAATGACCTCACTGCGACCACACTGGAATCATGGATAATGAGGGAAATCATCCCCAAATGGCCTTAATTCAGGTTAGTGAAATATTATAACTTACCCATATATATATATAATTAATATAATGCATTAATTGGTTGGGTAAATTATAACGACCTCACTGTTCTCCCGAACCCTGGAATCATAGTTAGATTGCGGGGAATCATGCCCAAATGGCCGCAAGTTTCAGGCTGGCGAAATATTATAAACCCAGCTTATTGGTTGGGTATGTTTAAAATTCGGATGGATTTTTTTTTCGACACTCCGGACACACCAGCGGTTTCTCTTCATTTTTTGGAAGATGGGTGTGTCAGTTTACCTCCAAATAGGGCAGTCATGGCCATTTCAATAGGAACACAGCAGCTTCCTGGGGGATGCACCCAGAATGGTTAGGGATCTATCCGAATGCAAGGAGTTGTACAGAAGTTGTTGCCAGATACCCTCTGGTAAAAAATGGTGATTTCTTGCTGTTTAATGGGACTTCAAAACGTGATTTAATGGAATATACCCTCTTCGCTAGGAACTTATGAACGGGATATACCCTCTGATTATGGTATTATACCCTCTAGATATACTTTATTGCTGATTATGAATGGGATATACCCTCTGGTAAACAAACAAAAAGCGAACTTGAACATGGCCCAGTCGAAATACTTGATTTACCCATAAAAAAATGGGTGGATCTTTCCATAGTTGCTCGTATGTTAGTTCACCAGAGGGTATCCTTGCCAGATATCTTGAGAAGTTGTTCCTTGCCAGAGTCCTATCCATATCCACCGGATCGCTATTTGTCCTTTGCTACTTGGTCTTTCGACGACAGATGCTGGCGATACTGCTTTACACATGGACCATCAACTGATAGCCTCTGGTAATCAAACGTGAAAATTGGTTTAAAATCCCCACTTTTCATGCATTTTTTAGATGGGATTTTCCATGAAAGAAACCATCTATTTTTGGGTAGCCCCAATTTAGGAAACCCCCCATATGGTGTTGCTGGCATCCCTGGGATGGAGATGATGAATCTATGTACCCTCTGGTAATTTGTCACATAGCTATTGAAAATACCAAAAAAATAGTTCGTTGATTTACCTATTCAAAATGGTGGATCTTTCTATGGTTATGCAAACGTTTACCAGAGGATAAACCTCCATTAATCACCATTAGATCCCATTAAACCACCATGAAATCCCATTAAATCACCATTAATCACCATTTATAGTTGATTGAGCTGTGTTCAAAACCCTTGCTGCTGAAACCCCAAAATGGGTATCCCTAAACAGTATTGAAATGGCGATTTTTTTTACATTGCTCAAGATCCCTATGGTGTTTTATTATATGCCATGAAAGTCCAATGAAATCCGCATTTTTTTAGTCATGTTTAGTGATTTTCAGGTTAAAAATCAACTAATTAATATGGTAATTCCAAAAACAAATCCATCCCCAGTAGAGCTTTAAGATGTGATTCACTATTGGTTTTACCACATTGAGCATCTCATTCCAGCAGTGAAATTCCTCTGGGTTCAGAAAACCGGTTCTTGTCCGAGGTTGGAAATCCCCAAAGAGGCTGCTGCCTGACCGTGTTGGAGGGTCGTACTAGTAGCCCAGATCTTCCCCAGAAAGGAGAGTGTAGTATGTGTATTTTCGATTGCAGAAATAGCAGGACGTGATCCTCGCACAATCATGATCTTCTTTGTCTGATTTAAGTGACAAAAACGGAGATTTGATAGGATTTGGCTAACTAACAACAATTGAAAATTAACAAACATGTTGATGTCGGAATATCTACCAACCAGTTTAAAAAAATGCGGAGTATCGAAGATCGGGCCATTCAAGATTAAGCCAAACGTAGATACATATACCATCGACACTTATGGTTTGCATACGCTATGGATCGTTATGGATCAAATATATTTGTTGGCTGCATGCGCATATTTGATAGCGTCCAGATTAGTATACTCATTGTTTGTATCAATCTACAGACATTTCGATCAACTAATCCAGATGTTTCTTCTTCTTCCTCTTCTTTATTCCAAACGTTGGTGAAATCCAATCCCTCTACGGTGAAGCTTCCAAGTTAATGTTCAGAGGTGAAATATCCATGTTTTCTGAAGAAATGGATGAAAAATGATGAACTTGTGTCAATGCACCAGAATTTTCCTGGGTTTTTCACACCTCAATGTTTGTTCTTTTCAATTCCTGTGTGCTGTTGAAAACGGACAAATTATTCATTGTAGGCTAGATCACATGCTGGTCAACTCATGGCAACCGTGGTGAAGCCAGTAAGTCGTAAATCACATGTCAGATCACCAGGTTTCATAGTTGAAACCCGCCTCTTGCTTGATCATTACTCTTGGTGAAGTCCATTGAAATCCACAATTTCTAGTTAAATGATGTCAAATGACAATCAGGACTCATCCATTAAGTCCATTGAAATCCATTAAATTTCTGTGGACTCACCATGTTTGCTGACCAGGGTGGCGAGACCGGCAGCCGCAAGGGCTCCGACGTTACGACCTCGGACACCGAGGTCGTGGTGCCCAAGGCACCGGAAAGCGTTTTCCGCCGTGGTGAACCCGCAATGGGGCCGATAGGGGCAGGGCACAGGACATTTTTGCTGGCAATACCGTCTGATAAATAAACATGTTGACCCTGAAAATCACCAGTTTTTAATGGTTTCACTAATCTTCCAACCCCGACAACTGGCAGGGTTGAACTGTTAATTTACTGGAGGGTAATTCCCATATCTGGGTAAACCCTCTGGTTATTTAGCATAGCTATGGTATAAATAGCCCATTTATAGATCATAACAATACCCCTATGCAACCCATGGTGCTGGAAGATGAATCCCAACACTTGCCCGAAGAATTCATCACCCAGTTATGTAGGTATAACATAATTAAACGGACATGTGTTATAACATAATTAATATAAGATAATAATATAATATAATATAATATAATATAACATAATATAATATAATATAATATAAATATAATATAATATAATATAATATTATTATAATATAATATAATATTTATATATTTTAATATAATATCATATCATACAATATAATATAGTATAATATCATATCATATCATATCATATTTATTATACAATATAATATAATATAATATAATATAATATATATAATATAATATAATATAATGTAATATAATATAATATAATATATAATATTAATATAATATATAATATAATATTAATATAATATTAATACAATATAATATAATATATTATAATATAATATAATATATTATAATATAATATAAAATATAATATAATATTAATATATTTTAATATAATATCATATCATATCATATCATATCATATTTATTATACAATATAATATTAATATTATATTAATACTATATTAATATAACATTAATATAATATTAATATAATATAATATAATATAATATATAATATAATATAATATAATGTAATATAATATAATATAATATATAATATAATATTAATATAATATTAATATAATATAATATATTATATAATATTAATATAATATTAATATAATATAATATATTATAATTTATAAGATATTTTTTTTTTTTGTATGGGTAGATTAGAGTGACCTCACTGTTCTCCCTCACATAGCCAGGCCGGCGGCAGCAGCCCCAAGCCGACCGACTCCGGGCGGCCGTCGCCGAAGAAAGGCAGCCCAAAATCCACGAAATCTCAGGAAAAAACATGGAAAAAACCCATGGAATCTTCATTGAATCATCATATGGGGATGGGTCAAAACCTATGAAATTACCATGGTTTTTGGTGAATAACTATCCATTACCCAGCGACTTTAGGGTACCGTTTGGGTACTACGTTTTGACCCAGAACCATGTTCGTAAGGTCGAAATGGATGTCAGTAACTCCGAATTGCGGAGTTATTACATGTTATTACCCTGACTGGCTAAAGAAACGTTAATTGTTTCTGATTCTCGAAGATTGGCCACGGTTTGTTGAGTTATGGATAATAATCATGGTGATTATGTCATGGTTTATGGATATGTGTGGTGAGTCCATGTGGAGCCACTTCGAGAGGTAGACCCCAAAATCTTGGGCGACACCATGAAGTGAATTTCAAACCACCCAGAGGAGCGAACAGCCAGAAAGGCAAGACACATGTACAAAAATGTGGATTTGATGAAGTGTGAATTGTGGATATAAACAAAATGTTGATTTTTCCCCAACAAAGCGAAACCATCTTAGCAGGTTCGTTTTTTTCCGAAAACCATCATGGTGGGGTGTGGGCTCGCGGAGATATGTTGGGTACCCCCAAGCCCAAGTGGTCCCAAGTCCTTTGAGAAAGTCTCACCCATCAGCAAAATGGACTGCCAAAGGCCCAAAATGAGATGGTTAAAAAAAAAAAACATTTCCAACCACGTGTTGCTGTTGGTAAATCTGAGCCCCACCATACTGAAAAGTAGCCAGGGGTTCTGGGCGAATGTTCACCATGAGGGGAGGAAATGATCGCCAAATCACACGTTTTTAAAGTTCTGTCAAACCATGTGGATGATAGTATATGTTTATATTATTGTGACAGCCGTAAATTGCAGCCATATCATGACATATTATGACATACATATCCCATAATAAAGTATGACCGTGTCCCAGAGAACCCCCTTAAAGGTACGGCAGTAGTTTCCAGCTTTGGAGTTGCCAGAAAGTCCTAAGCCACGTTTTTCCTGTTCCGTCCGCGCAGATCGGAGCCGGTCCCCAAAGCCAGAGGTGGGGCCGGGGCCGGGGACGGATGGTCATGGCCAAAAATACAGGTGAGAAATTGGAAAACATGGAGGCGCAGGGAAAGAATACAGGGGTTTTAGGGAAGTCTTTGTGATTTGTTTTTTGTGGGTCCAGCTTCATTTCAAGGATGTACTGAATGTGTTGAATAAGCGGAGTTCCAAGCGGCACACATGGATTTCGGCTGGAGTCAGAACATGTCGTGACCTTCAGAAAGCACAAAGAGATGAGGCCCATTTGCGACTGCTATGCCTAGAATTTCGGATATATGGCTAAAGCATCCTGAAACATCAAGTTCAACCAAACATATTGATGATGGTGGTTCGTTCCCCCAATTCCAATGGTTTTTGATGTATGGAATCAAAAGGCCCTAACATCATGTATCCTTTGTCTATGGTTCTTTGGGGTTCCAGGGGAGAGTGTCAGTGAATTTCCAGGTGGCATGTTGTTTGGATAATAAGTCATGTGGATTGATTGGGTAAAGTTTGTTGGTTGGAAACCAAGTTTTGTTTGGTTAAATCATCAGTAGCCCGATGTTTGCCAACAAACCCACTAGGTTTTGCTTACTGAATCTCTAGTTGCCCAGTTCATGTTGGTGTTATTGTATATATATATTGTATATATTAATATATATATATATATATATATCACACACACACACACCCTCCAGCAATCGAAAGTGGCGATGGAAAACCCCACCATTTATCGATGATTTTCCCATTTACTCATCCATTGATAGGGAGATTTCTTTGGATTTCCCAAGTTCCTCAGTCGTGTTGCATCCTTTGGCAATGGCACTGCATATCCATCCACCACGTGCTGTCAGGGACCTGACTTGGGTGGTAAGGACGTTGTCTCGGTGCGATTTTGGCTGGATTTTCTGCCCTTGGGTTTGACTGAAGATTACCGGCCAGAGGGTTTTTGTTAATCCTGTTCCCGTAATGTTACCTGTGAAATTGGCCATGGGGTATACCGCATAACATGGTATATACCATGGTATGACATGGTATAACTTACCGGGTATAGCGCATTTTCAGACTCAAGTTTCTGCGACAAAGCAGCATGAGTTGCTGGACTCCCGTTGGACCACAGGGACCCAAAAGTGCTGAAAATGGTCATCGATAACTTGGAAGATTTGGGGGTAGCCTCATGTTAACTTACTGTAAGATCTATTATCATTTATGTATCTAACTAATGTTGATACAAGTATAAGAAAAGTTGATCAACAATGGGCTGATATTTTATCTGATAGGAGTCTATGATATCATCCGAAATCCAAGCAAAGACCTTTTTTTTGCGGGCAGCGTCTAGGCATCCTAGGCATCCGTTGAAACTAATTAGAAGTACGGAATCTTGTCCATGTTTTGCATAATTATTCTGGTAATTAGTTCTGGGTTCTACATACGATGGATGGTTGCGAAATCCTGGACCACCAAAAGGATGGTTGAAACCCTATAAATAATGGGATATTAATGGGATAAAGCATCTATCAACTGGTGATTCGGATTTCGCAACCATCCACAGTATGTTTGTACTTGTTCCCGACATGGATGCTGGGATTGATGGGTTCACAGCTGTCAAAATGCGAGGCTTTCATGGGTTTCATATCTGTTGTTCCATGGTTTTTCCCATGCCGGCAACAAGCCCATCCATGGAGCTGGTATATTTACATACTGGCTGATGAATTGGACAAGGGCAAATGTTGGATAACTGCTTGGTGGTGACTGGAACCATGGAATTTTTCATGACTTTCCATTCAGTTGGGAATTTCATCACCCCAACTGACGAACTCATATTTTTCAGAGGGGGTTGAAACTGACGAACTCATATTTTTCAGAGGGGTAGGTCAACCACCAACCAGATAATATTGGTAAATCTTCCAGCACGGTATGGGAAATAGCTGCCATGGCAGCCGCGCAAGCAGCTCATCTCCAGGAGGTGCAAAACCTGGAGGGCTTGGGCGCCAACTTTGCCACGCAGTTCTGCTGGGCTGGGATGTATGGAGGCCAGGTGCAGCAGACTTCTCCGGGAAAACTGGGGTAAATCCCCTATGAAAATCATGGGAAAATTATGATTTAAGGGGAAACATCCTGCAAATGAGCTTAGTTCAGGTGAGTGAATTTATCTGGTTGGTGGTTTGGAACATGAATTTTATTTTTCCATATACTGGGAATAATCATCCCAACTGACGAACTCATATTTTTCAGAGGGGTAGGTCAACCACCAACCAGTTTGATTGAGATTGTATTGAAGTATCCAATGAAATCTACTAAGGGGATTGCTCAACCACCAGTCGAACATTTGAGCAGCTTCCGGAAGCTCAATTCGTTGAGGAGTATGTAATCCATTGAGGGAATCTCAGTTGGTTACCCAAGTTTATAAAAGCTTGGAGATTTTCCATGGTGAATCCCGTAGATAGATGGATACATACCTAGACCTAGATCTATCCAATTTTCAAATATATATATATATATCCCCATAAACTATCAGTCACCTCCCAGGCATGAGCGGAACAGGCCTCAGAGGCTCTACAGCATTTGATCGGGAAGTGGCTCATGATGCCTCATGGAAATGGGAATTGGAGGCAAACTTCAGGGATATCCTATTTGAATACAAAGCCATATGCTGCTTTAATCTGTTTTTATGTGTTTTTTTTCCAGGATATGAAGATCATTTGAGTAAATGGTTTATTTTTAGGGGGGTGGGGAAAACATGGTAAAAACGTGGGAAGGCGTGAAGATACTTTGAGTGAATGGATCATGTGACCCGTTGGGGGGTCCACTGCAATGTTTGATGGAGGTACACAGCGTGGCCAGTGTCCTGCTTGGTGGAGATAAAATCCCAAGGATTGGCTCATGTTTCAATGAGACATTTGAAAAAAGCAGAGATACCCTCCGGTAATCAAACATGGCAATGGGATATCTGCATTTATACTGTAGATGATTTCCCAGCTATAAACCTCCATTTGTAGGGGGGGTGTCAATTGCCACGTTACATTTGATTGCTAGAGGATACACACAAACAATACAACGACAATGAGTCAATGACTTAAGTGCTTCAGAAGAAACTGTTGCGGGTCAATGGTCCAACTTCCTAGATGTTATCTCGCCAATTTCCATAACAGTTGCAGATGTGAGCAGCAACTTGGGGGACTGGCCAATCGAAAATCGTCAACTTAAAAAAAACATGTGACTCTTTCAAACTTTCTTTGTTTATTTCATGCTTGGTTGTCATGTTCCGTCAGATCCTGGAATCCAAAGTGATGTACATCTTTGTACAAGAAATCCCAACAGCCTTGGATCTGTGGAATCCAGTGTCCACCGTCATGACGCTGGCGCTGAATGAACTCAGCCAGCGTGTCTTGCGGGGCACTGCGGTTTCCGCCATGGAAGATGGCACTTTTGGATCCCAAACAATCTACATTCCTAGGTGAAAAATGGGATCCTGCGGCTTGGCATGGAGCAAAATGGATACCCACCACCACGACCCCTATGGATCCTATGGATCCTATGGATCCTATGGTCCCTAAAGCGGTATGTCGTGTCATTGGTGCTTTAAGCTAACTGCTCTAGGGGGACCCACCCACTTTCCCAAATGAATTATGCTTTCCACAGAAAAATCGGGGATGACGATCCCAAGGTGGCGTTTTCGGGTTACTGCATGGTTGTATTCTATATATATATATTATACAAATATATATATATATTATACAAATATATATATATATATATAATATAATTAATATATAATATAATACATATATATATATATATATTTACATATAATTGTATAATAATATTATATATATATAATTGTGTCCCTGTTCTACTATTACTATTAGCACTACTATTACTCGTACAAATTGCTACATATGATCAATTTCCAAGCCTCAAATTAGACTATCTACAATCTCTTATTTCTTTTATTACTGTTTCTATTACTACAATGTGAGGCCCCCAAGATAGCTAAGTTGGTTTATAACTCCAATAACTATGGTTTATGGTACTTATAACTATAGTTACTGGGGCGAATCTAAGCCAACAAACATAACGTTTGGGGGGCCCCACATTGTACGTAATCTAAGATGGAATATCTCCGCTGTCATCCCTTGCAGCTCCAAGATATCCAAGGACCCCGATGGAAGGATAATCCACGCCTGCCAGCCCTGGTGGGGAAACAATCCACCGATGATCTGCACACGCCTTGCTATGTGCGCCACGCGTACAGGTGGGCTCTGGATCTCTTTTGAGTTTTGGAACAGAAAACTTGTGTAGAAAACCAAGCATTACATGGGATAGAACGGGCATTAATGATGATATATTGACGAAGAATAGTATATAGTAATATATATATATATAGTAATATGACATAAGTGTGTCTGGAAATGAGGGGAATTATCCCAGTTAGTTGCCATGAAGAATCAAAACTGGGGTCTGTAACAACTGGATTTTGGAATTTTGGGGGTGCCGTTGTTTTTCGACAAAAAATCCTTTGGACAGTTCGGTAGGATTTGGAGCGAACAAAGGAGCTATGGGTATTCCCTATTAAATGTTGAGTTCAGGACCCACTAAGAGATTCCTCACTACATGATAGATTGGTTGTCTAATTAGGCGTGTTTGTGACGGGGTGAAACTTTCAACCAACATGCCCATGATTCAAAAACTGCAAGTCTCCTGTGTTGGTTTCTTGCCGGTCAAATGCTTAAGTTGTTCTTGTTAATCTACACGTGTTTGGTGGTTGAATCTTCCGCTGCGTTGCAGAACTCCTACTACTAAGGCCCTACTATATACTCGTACAAATTACCAAAAAATCGGTCTAGTCACAATCTCGTGTTTCATTGCTGAGCACCAACAGGGCGCTCAATATCTCCAAAAATACCATCTCCAACCCGACATTTCTTCCATGTCCATCAGTTTTCCTCGGATTTTCACCAAGTTCTTCAGATTTTCTCAGATCTTCCCACCTTTTTTTTCGATGTTCCCCACATTTTCCCAGGTTTTTCCCAGGATCCATCCGTTTTTGGCGCCGTTGCAGGGTGGGCACTGTGGCGGTAGGCCCGCCCTACCAGCTGCGCGAGAAGATGGACGCCATGTCGCCGGCCTGGTCGGCACTGCGGGTGCTGGACCTGTCCATTGAGAAAGCGGATTGGGTCAGGTCCTACAGCAACTTGGTGGGTGCGGATGGGGTGGATAGAAATTCATGAGTCTATTGAATGTAATTCTCTAGATGAATTATAGTTACCCAAGAACTATATTTATAACATAAAATATATATCTATAGTACTCAAGTTTGTATTGCTATAGGTTATTTATCTAGTGAAAACTTGGTGATTATTTCATGGCGTTTTTTTGTTGGCTATCAAATAGCTAGAGCAACTTGGCGGTGATTTGTCATGGGGATGGTATGATTCTCAAGGATTGATTGGTGATTAAATCATTGGTTCATTATTAGCATTGTTTTTGAAACTTTCCGATCAGGTACTGTCTATGTGATGCATAATTATATAATTTTTCAAGTCACCCCCAATCACCATATTATATATATATGGTTGGTGGTTTGGAACATTTTTTGTCATTCAGTTTTGGGAATTTCATCATCCCAGCTGACGAAGCCCATCATTTTTCAGGGTAGGTTGAAACCACCAGATCATCCCTTCCTCACCCGAGAACTATGGCAGTAGCCGTAGCAACTTGGTGGATTTCATGGGAATCATGGGCCAACTCGGTGCCCTTTTTGGGCAGACTGCTCTCGGTGTTCGCACTGGGAGCACGCTGCTCTAAAAAAAAAAACTTCTGCGAGATGTTGGAAACAACCTGCCAGGTGATCAAAAGATATGGGTGAGATCGAAATCTGCTATAACACATGTTGGAAATATGAACACCCGTTTGCCGGCCGGTGATGGAGAGATATCTGGCTACGGAAATGATGTTGATATGGTAATAGCAACTTTACGGTGTCATCTGAATCGGGAAACATTTGATAAATCAGTTGTTGTTTCTTTTTTGCATGTGTTACTATGATCGTGATATTGACAGATTGACAGACGCACATATCCAAAATCTATAGCAAGTTGGAATGTTTTGATCTAATGGTTTGGAGGGAGCTAAGGAGCTATGGTTGATGGTTGATTTGACGTTTGATTCGATAGTTGATAGTCAAAGAATTCAACTTGATGATGAAGACGTGCTTTAGTTGGATACAGTTGATATGATGTTAATATGATAGTTGCATTGGTATAGTTTTACATGATATTGTCAAACCAATACCATAGGCTATAGTCAATGGATCTACAGTTCTATTTGAAACCTAAAGATCCCATTTATATCATATATCCATGTATCACCACTGATCCCAATTAGAATTATACCAAGGTACAGTTATGGCCCGACATAGCAGTTATAAGTACTAAACCAACCCCATTTATGGAATGTATATCCCATTTTTTTCCACTTATAACTAATATTTAATGGCCATAACTGTAGGATGAAGCATGAAGTACTCTACCTACCCGAACCAGACCTCCTTCCCAGGTAAAATCCTCAAGGACAGCGGGGGTCGGGGCAGGTGGAATGGTGAGGACGGAGAGATCATCCCCAAATGGCCGAACCTTTGGTGGTGAATTGTGACAATCTATCCAGATATATATGTATATATATATATACATAATACATATATATATATATATATATTAATATATACATATATATATACATATACATATATATATATATACATATATATATATACATATATATATATATATACGGAAAACATTCAAACAGCTGGAGATCTTTTCAGTGTATCTATAAGATTGGCAATGATTCCAAAGGTGTTTGATTCCCCCGTGGGGAAGCTCCAAATTGAGCTTTTAACAGGTCGAAAATTGCACTGTCTGACCTTTGCTACAGCAAAGTCATAGTTTACGATGCCCGGGGGTAGGTGAACCGCTTGAATTGTCATGATGAAGATCCTGTGCTTCCTTCTGGAGATGTTTGAAGATCGCAGTAATTCAGCTTGCAATAAACCTGATTTTGCAGCACTGAGACCAACATCTTATATTGTAGTCGAGAATTGATCTGCTTGGGTGATGAAGGCATGTTTGTGAGACCGCTGTTTGTTTTCCCTTGTCCAAACATGCTATGTACCCCTTAAATGTATCATTTTAACAATTTGTGATTTAAGTTTTAAGGAGAAAGACGATGGTAGTAAACGTGACAATCCGTTGTAATCAGAGTTTGCCCATTAAACATCCAAAAGGTGCTCTGTGGTGGTACATTTCACATTATTGAGCTCCAAAACTGGGTGAATTAAAGTAAAACCCCTTGTTTACCATTATATTGACCATTAATTGTTCATTCTTCTACCATTACCCTCTGGTTATTTAACATAGCCATGGAAGCCATGGCCCATTTATAGATGATTTACCTATTAATAGCATGGTGATTTTCCATGGCTATGTTAGTCATAACCAGATGGTAGTGTATATTAGTGTACCATGAGGTTGCCATTGATTTAAACCATCTTGGTAAAGGTTTCAGCATTCGTCGCATTCGTCCGTGCAGGAGCACAGTCGGAAGTTGGGTCCCGCGCAGGGCATCCGAGAGATGAACCGTGACTTGGATGAACTCCGGGTTGCCAAGTCTTTTGATTTGTATATGAATATAGATTATATAATACACACATATATATATATATACAATTTGTTAATATTCCAACCACTTATGAACCACATGTCCATGAGTGATGTCTCTTGTTCCATCTGATGCCACATCAAGCATGGCAACTCGCCGCGCCGCTGTGCCGCTCATCCAGACGGGAGGGCGGGAGGACATCACAGGGTGATCAGGAAGGGAAACGGGGTTTCTCAGGTGTGCACAGTTGATAGGAAAGTCAGGGAACATTCCAACCAATTTTGGGGTAACATTATTCAGTGGATTCACATTGGTAGCGGAGCGCTAAGCTGCCGCAGTAAGCTCCATATCTAGAGGGGTCACTGACAGGGTCAGGAAATCTAGAAATTTTGGGTCCTACAAGCATAGGACTGCACTGTAGGGCCATTGAACTGAGCCATGTCGGAGACTGCGGAAGCAGCAGATCCATCCGCAACTCTGACGTTGCCACCAACGTCACTCCCATGGGGACAGATACCTCGGTTCGATCCGAGCACCACAGACTTGAGGGTCTACAGTCAGAAGATGCAGTTTTTGCACTCAATCTGGCCTGAGGAACATCGAGAGCACCTTGCTCCGAGGGCTGCGCTGATGATCGAAGGGGCCGCCTTTCAGAAGATCACTAGACTGGACGCAACAAAGTTGAGACAGAAGGACGGAGTGAAACACCTCATAGAAGCTCTTGGAGGACAATGGGGAAGAACGGACGTGGAAGATCGATACGATCTGTTTGAAAGAGCCTTGTACATGGTTAGCCAGAAACAGGACGAGACCAATGACAGCTACTTGGCTAGGCACGACATTGCCTTCGAGGACCTCATCTCGAAAGGAGTGTCACTCCAGGACGTACGGGCTTACGTCTTGGTCCGTCAGTCAACGTTGAGTCCGGAGGACCGCAAGAAGATCATCATGGACAATGGAGGCCAGTTGACATACGATCTGGCCCGACGAAGTATGAGATTGTTGGGTTCCAGGTTCTTTCAGGACCTCCAGGGCAGCCGAAACCCACAGGTGAAAAAGACCTATGAGGCCTACACCATGGAAGAGGAGGAATCAATCCATCATACAGCAATTGATGGAGAGCAGGGAGATTTCGATGAAGAACAGACCTTTCAGGTCTTGGCCGATCAGGGTGACGAGGACGCGACGTTTGTCCTGGACTTCGAGGACCAGATTGTGGAGACCATCCAAGAGAGTGCCAGCCTGGCATCCTGCTTTGTCTCCTATCAGGAGGCCAGAGCTCGAGTCAGAGAACGGGCAAGAGCACGTGGTTTCTGGCCAGTCAAAGGCAAGAACAAGAGCAAGGGATCGAAGAAAGGAAAGGGGCCATTCATGGGAAACCAGAGCATAGGATCCGCCGGGGCTCGGCGACGTTCATTAGCCGACAGGATCGCCAACAGCACCTGTAGGCTGTGTGGATTGCCGGGTCACTGGAAGAGGGAATGCCCCCAGAGACCTGAGGCACAGTCGAAGTCAGAGACGATCAACATGACCGTTGAGCCCTATGAGATGAGGATGCGGTCGTTCAGGAGGTTGTTGACACCTTGCCCGAGACTGCGGAGAAGTACCAGGAGATTAGGGAGAAAACAGGACGGTCACCAGTGTTTGAAATTTTTGGTAATCAAAATGGGAACATGTGCCATGATTGCTTCGGATGTGAAGTAGTGAATCAGGTTGGTAACGGTGAGTTTGATCCCATGTTTTCTGAAAATCTTCACAACCGTCTCATGGCATGTTGTAGGAAGCATGGAATTGACGTGATGGCCAAGTGCAAGTCCGAGATCATGTCACCTCGGATGACACCCACTTATGAGACGGGCCTGAACCCGGTCATGTCTCATTCACTCACGAGTGATGACCCAGCCGCAGTTTTCCAAATTGAAGAGGATGTGCATGAAGCCATAATTGACACTGGAGCAAGTAGAGCAGTGATAGGTCATGAGAGGCTCAGTGGCCTAGTGAAATCCTGTGGAGTTCATGGTCGTGTTTTCACATCACCTTCCAGTGTCACATTTCGCTTCGGAAATTCAGGGATCCTCAAGAGCACTTTTGCTGTGTTTTTTCCCAGGAAAACGGGTGGTTGGATCAGAGTGGAAGTTGTGCCAGGTCGGACTCCCTTTCTACTATCAAACTCAGTGTTGAAAGCTCTTAGGGCAGTGATAGACACAGAGAATAGGAGCATGTGGTTCAAGGGTCACAACCAAAGCATTCCTCTGGGTACATGTCGGAAAAATCTCATGAGTGTTGATTTCTCACAAATCTTGAACTTGGAAAATCATGGTCATGAGGGTTCACGCATGCATGAAATACATGTCGCAAACATGGATGAACGAAAAGGGTCGATGCTGAGAGTGAATGTTGCGGATATCAGGGACCCCAAAACCCCAAAGTTGAGAAACCAAATACTGTGGATAACCCAGGAAACCCAATAAAGGATGTACATTGGGAAGAACCTCAAGGGAATGATAAACCAGTTGACAATCAAAATCCCAAAGTGATGTCCGAAGACGATGTACAGAAAGAAGGGGCTCCAGACACCACCGGTCATGTGAAAACACATGTGAACCATGAGATGGATGGAGCCAATTGCCCTCAAGCCCGTCATTTTTGTCGCAAAGAACCAATTGAGCAGAACAGCCATGACAAACAAGGGGTACCTCGACGACCCTTTGACAATCAGCGTGGACCCGGAACTCAGGGGCAACAGCCAGTACCAGGAGAACATCAAGGGGCCGATTCAACGACCACCCGGTGTAGAGACTCTACGCCAGTGGGGTCAGATCGTGATCCCGTCTGGCAAACATGCCGGACAGAGCTTCGCGGAGGCACACTCAGACATGTGTTATGTGCATCAGGTCTGGAACCGGAAAGCCGTGTCTCCGTGGCTTCGAAGTTTCCAGATGTACTGCAGGATGCGACAACATGCAGCCCCAACCTCCGAGGAGATCTTCGACAAGGTCGAGAAAGAGCCACAGAAGACAGCTGCAGCTATGGCAGCACCCAAGGGGATGATCAAGATCAACGAATCGAAGATGAGCCCACCAGCACAGAACAGCGAGTGGACGAAGATCGAATCGAGCGCTGCGGTCAGCAGCGAGACCAACCGGAAGCCGAAGAGAGGCAGTGCAACGGGATCAACAAGAGGGATGGAGACCGAGATCAACCATCAACGTGTCCAGGAGCTCAAGACACAGATCGCAATCCTGGAAAGGCAACTGGCCATCGAAACACAGGTGCCAGAGACCGAACCCGAGAAGAAGCCCAGTTGATCGAGCAAACTGCCCAGTATATCATGAATGACCAACCTCCGACATTGATGACCAGTGTCCAGGAACAGTCGATCCATGATGCCATCAATCAAAAGATTTCAGAGGTTACAGGCGGATTGTCTCGCCTCGACTGTCATGCTGATGGTTTAAAAGGGAAAGACTGGACAATGGTCAATGAATCCGTACGGGAATCCCAGCAAAGTCGGCCTCTGGACCTCCTAGAAGTTTACTGTGGACCCAATTCCCAAATTACTCAACAGGTGTTAAGACTTGGGGGAGTGGCAAAGAGATTCACCATTAATGATGGGGACTTGGGAACAACGGAGGGTGTCCAGAAACTTTGGCTGTGGATCCAATTGTATGAACCTCGACATATTTGGTTGGCACCAGAGTGCAAGCTATACGGGAAGTTCTCTAACCTTAATATGTCCCGAAGTCTTCAGGATCATGACAGGGTGGTTCAACGTAGAAGGGATAATCGTGGTCATTTAACCCTCTGCAATGAGATCTACCGTCATCAAGTATCCCTGAAAAGGCATGTGCACCTGGAACAACCAAGTGAATCATGTATGACTAGCCAACCGGAATTGCAAGAACTGGTGTCGGGAACATTCCGTTCATGCTTTGACATGTGTCGACTTGGAAAACTTCGACTCCCTCATCAACAAAAATACCTTCGAAAGGGAACCAAGGTCCATACTTCAAGTGGTTATGTTCATTACCATTTGCATGACAAACGGTGTTTGGATGACCATGAGCATGAGACCATACAAGGAAGTGTGAAAACTAGGGAGGGTCGCCAAAATGTATCAGCATATGCTGCCGCATACACACCTGTGTTTGGAGCATACATGGCACGTGTCATACTGGAGGAATGTGAACTGAAAGAAGACCCTGTTGATATTTTTGCTGTCAGCAGGGAAGCCGACAAACCCGAAATGGCACCATCCGAAGAGCCGTGTCCAAAGAGACAACGGCATGGAATTAAAGGGCCACCGCGACCTGCAGACTTGGAATATGATGCCCAGGGCTACGGAAAAAGCCCCACGTGGGGCCAAGTTGTACGTAGGTGCAACAGTGTTGTTCCACGGGTAGGTAGTCATCCAATTCGACCTGGGGATCCTCTGTTTCAGCTGTTTCAACTGATGGTACCTGAATTGGAACTCAAGTTGATCATGTTGTGCCGAGGCACAGAACGATTTAGAATTCCTGGTAGCCTTGCCCAAGGGGAAGAAATGCCATGGAGGCGTACCATTCTGGTTGATCGTGGGACTGGGGAAATCATTGATAAGGGCCCCCCCGAAAACTGGAAGGCATTGCCAAAACTTCAACAAACCCGAAGGGCAGGGTCAGCACGTGTCTCAATCACTTGCTTTGGAGTCTTGAGGTCATCAGCTTCAGGAATACAACGTTGGGAACCCTCAAACCCCGAATCCGTAGGTGGTGAGAAGGCAGTGGGTAGTGGGGATCCTCATCAATCGTTTGGGGGTGAGCATGCCTCAGGGGTACAGGGTTCTCAAATGGAATCTTCGGAAGATCAACAAGGGGCTGAGATTCAGGGTTGGCCCCCAAGGGTTGTCCCTCAAAGTGGTCCCCATTTTGAAGCACTTGATAATGACCAGAAAGCTGATCTCCGAAGGTTGCATGCAAATCTAGGGCACCCATCTCCTGACAAGCTGAGTAGACTTCTTCAAGACCAGGGCGCCAGTGATGAAGTAATTAAGGCAGCCAGAGATTTCCAGTGTGACTCTTGTATAGAGAATCAAACCAAACCAAAACTACCGAGTCCTGCCACAATCCATTCTCCAAAAGATTTCAATGACTGTGTTGGGGGAGATGGTGCCTACTGGGTAAATGGACGGGGTCGTCGTTTTCATTTCATGCATTTCATAGATGAGGCAACACTGTTCCACTTAGGGGCACCAAGTGGTAGAGCGGTAGATGACCAAATCGAAACCTTTGAAAACATCTGGCTGCACTGGGCTGGACCATGTAAAGAATTGTATCTTGATCCAGCAGGAGAGTACCTTAATGACCGATGGCATGAATTCCTTCAAAAGGAAGGGATCCGCTTGAATGTTGCAGCAGGAGAAAGCCATTGGCAAATTGGCCGAGTAGAAGCACACGGCCGTATCATCAAACAAATGCTCACGGCAATGGATGCTGAGGAGCAAATTTCCTCGCAAGAGGATTTCCGTCGATGCCTGCGACATGTCTTTTCTGCCAAGAACTCATTGAGTAATGTGGCTGGATACTCCCCAGAACAGGCCGTATTGGGTAAAGCACGTGCACTCCCAGCATCTTTGGTTTCGGACAGTTCAGCAATAGCACATAGCCTGGCAGAATCTGATTCACCAGAGGGCATCAATTTCCGAGAGAGCCTGCGCAAAAGAGAGCTCGCCCGGAAGGCATTTTTGGCTGCGGACAACAATCAGGCTCTCCGCAGAGCTTTGCTGAGACGTCCCCGTAAAGATCCTGATGGGTATGCTAATGGTGACTGGGTACTGTATTGGCGTCAAAACCGGGGTAACCTTAAGGGGGAGCGTGGCCGTTGGCATGGGCCGGGTCAGATTGTAACCATTGAGGGCTCTCGAGTTGTTTGGATTAGCCATGGGGGATATCTCGTCAGAGCCAGCCCACAGCACTTGCGTCCGGCGTCACTTCGTGAACATTGTCTCCTGCCTCGTGACTCAAGCGGAAAGATTGTCCCCGAAAAGATTCGAAGTGGGTGTAAGAACTATCTTCATCTAGAGGGAATCCCCGAAGAACAGGATTTGGACGGAGAAGGAACAAATGAGCCACCGAGTGCAGGCGTGGTCCAAAGTGACATGCCAAGTCAACCTGACGGAGAGCGTTTTCCTTCCGAGTGCTCACCATCAATCTCCCCATCCCCATCAATTGCCGAGGATGTTGTAGAGGAGGAGAAACCTATAGTCCCCGAGGAAATTCCCATACCTGATGATGATGATGACGGTTTGTTTGGGGATGATTTGGGAGACCCGGCAACCACAGAGGGATTTTGGGAGATAGGATTCCATAATGGCCCAACACATGATGTAGAGGAGATTAGCTTTTGTGAAAGCCCGGAGATTCTTGAATGGGCCAATCTGGCAACAGGTGCCCGAAAACAGCGGGTAGAAGTTCAGTGGAAATCTTTAAGTGAGCCGGAACAAAGACTCTTCCAGGCAGCCAAGGACAAAGAGATCCGGGCATGGGTAGACCATGGGACAGTGAGGCGTGTAGCTAAGGGGACTCTCCATGAAAGCCAGATCATGAGGTGTCGCTGGATTCTAACTTGGAAGCCTCCAGCCCCTGGACTATCAGAGAAGAGGGCTAAAGCCCGTTTGGTGGTATTAGGCTTCGAAGACCCACAACTGTCAACCATAGCAGCCGGTGCTCCAACGTTGTCAAAGGATGGAAAGCAGATGGTACTCCAGCAGGTGTCTAGCCGGGGCTGGCGACTTATCAATTTTGACATTTCTACTGCGTTCCTAAAGGGAGCTGGCGATGGTCGACAGCTTGGCTTGCACGCACCAGCTGAATTGCGTCAGGCCATTGGCATGAAATCCGAAGATCAATGTCAGCTGATCGGAGGAGCATATGGCCGAGCCGATGCACCAATTTTGTGGTATCGAACCCTCCGCAAAACGCTGGAATCCCTGGGTTTTGTAGCTCATCCGCTGGATGGCTGTGTGTTTAGCCTGGTATCAAAAGATCCCCAAGGGAAAGTACGGGTTCACGGATGCTTGGGCATCCACGTGGACGATGGGATCGGTGGGGGAGATCAATACTTTAAGAGGGTCATTGGAAAACTCCGGGAGATCTATAGCTTTGGAGCCTACAATGAGGGTGAATTTGAATTTTGTGGTGTTCACTATTTTCAATGGGATGATGGGTCCATTGAACTTGAACAGAAATCTTATATTCAGAAAATCTCCCCAATCGAAATTCCAAGAAGTCGACGTGTTGATCCCAAGTCGTCGCTGACAGCCGCTGAAGTTCAAATGCTTCGACAGATCTGTGGATCCCTCCAATACTCTGCCGTACACACTCGCCCAGACCTTGCGGCCAAGGTAGGGGAACTTCAGGCAGCAATTCCCCATGGAAGGATCGAACATTTAATTAGCGCCAATCGAGTGCTATACGAAGCAAAAACCAAGGCTGTTTCCCTGATGATTGTGCCGATCAAAGAGTCCGATGTAACATTTTGTGCATTCTCTGATGCTTCTTTTGAGTCAACAAAGGGGAATCCTTCACGTCAAGGGACATTGATTTTTGCTACTGATGGCAAACTGGTTGCAAACTGTCGGACGGTGATATGTCCAATGGCATGGTCATCAAGGAAGATCACTCGTGTTGTTCGCAGCACTTTAAGTGCTGAAGCTGTAGCTCTTGGTTCTGCACTTGACCGCCTGAGCTGGATCAGAATCTTCTGGGAACTCATGAAAAATCCAGAGACAGACTGGTCCGATCCAAATAAAGTTTTGGCAATGGCTCCACAGGCCGTAGTTGCTACAGACTGTAAGTCGGTATATGACCTTTCAACTAAAACCTCAACACCGTCTTGTGCTGAACATAGGACCACTTTAGAATGTCTCTTGATCAGGGAAAGACTGGAAGAGAATTGCCGGTTACGCTGGGTTAATAGCAAAGCAATGCTTGCAGACTGTCTTACCAAAAGCATGGATGGTGAAGTGCTTCGAAAGGCACTGGAGGTGGGCAGGTATTCGCTTTTTGATGAGGAACAGGTTCTAAAAGAGAGAGCTGACCGGCGATCCAGACTCAAGTGGGTCAGTGACCGAGACAAAACTCCGGAGCAGGGTTCGGTTGGAAATGAGTCTATTCCTGATTGATCTGTGCTGTTGGTGCTTCCGTTTTGATTGTTGTCTGATTTGTGTTGTTTTGGTTTTCTTTGTTTTTGTTGTTTTCTTTTGATTTTAGATGAGTGTTAATATTCCAACCACTTATGAACCACATGTCCATGAGTGATGTCTCTTGTTCCATCTGATGCCACATCAAGCATGGCAACTCGCCGCGCCGCTGTGCCGCTCATCCAGACGGGAGGGCGGGAGGACATCACAGGGTGATCAGGAAGGGAAACGGGGTTTCTCAGGTGTGCACAGTTGATAGGAAAGTCAGGGAACATTCCAACCAATTTTGGGGTAACATTATTCAGTGGATTCACAACAATTATATATAATATGTTATATGTATAATTATGTATATATATATATGTCACGTTAAATTACATCTTATGTTTATCGGAAATAGTGGTCAGATATCCATATGTTTTGCTCCCAACGAAAAAGGTGAAAAGGGCCACGGGTTGATGCGTCCAGAAACGAGGGATTTTTGGGACTAAAAGATACCATGTATATGCTTCCATGTCAATGTGATGGAAATAATGATAGATACATATGTCCAAATATGACCAATCTGTATGATGAGAAACTTCTACACAGGCCCCACTTGATTTTGAAATGTAGCGAAGTCGGCGCTTCAGGGGCCACTGCACAGGCACCGTGTCGCTGCCCAAAGTGGGAGCTTCAAGACCCAAGCCACGTCCCGTGCTGCGTGCGCGAAGTGCTGAGGCGAAGAAGGTCGGCTGTGGTGGGACAGCCTGGGGACTGGGGAGAGATCTAACTTATCTGGTTGGTGGTTTGGAACATTTTTTATTTATCCATTTATTGAGAATAATAGCCCCAACTGACTTACATATTTTTCAGAGGAGTGGGTCAACCACCAACCAGATTCATATTTACCTTTTGGTAAACTAACATAGCTATGGAAAATCACCATTTTATAGCTGGGTAAATCAACTATATCTATTGCCATTTTCAATAGGTTATATATATATATATAAATTATTGCGGGTACCCAATTTTGACCCTGCCAGGACCGGAGAACCTCACCGGGTGCCTCGGATTGACCAGTTCGGCGGTTTAGGTCCCGAAAAACCAACGGCTGGAAAAAGAAAACATGGGCGAAATATGGCAAAATATGGCAAATTGAGAACATGAAGTGACTACATTGACTACATCACCATGTTTTTGTTGGGGTTAGTCATGGTTAGTCATTCAAATGGCCATTACTGGGGATTGGTTTAGGTCCCAATGTCACAGCCGCAATCCGCTGAATCGCCGCTTTGGATCAAGCGTTGCGCAAGGTGTGACCATTCCTGCGGCATGTGACGCATACCCCATCGATGATTCACATTGGCATCTCCGAAATTTGGGTTTAACAGATGTTAATGGATAACAAATGTTTGAAACCATAACAAATGTTTGAAATCAGTTTTGCAAGATTTGAGTTTTAAAGATTTTAATGCAGCCACCGATGGAAGTGTGTTTCCTAGCATCGGGCGAGAAAGTTGCCGTGCTTGAGGCAGCTGAGTTCGAAGGAAAATCCGCCAAGGTAGTCAAGCAAGCCTTGGCACCCAAGATTGGTGTCACCAGATTTAGACAACGGCTCTTCCTAGAAGGTGATGCTGTTGAGATCCCAGACGATGAGGTTTTTGCCTCTGCGCCTGTAAAGGTTCAGCTGGTGGTCTTGAAATTTTGCCCACCAGATGCAGAAGAAGACAAACGGATGATACTGGCAGCAAAGGAGGATGATACAGTTGGCCTTGAATGGTTGCTGAAGTCCCCGCGAAGTCCGAACACAAGAGATGCTGATGGCATGACACCTTTGCACCATGCAGCAGAGCGCGGACATGTTGAGCCCACGCGGTTGTTGGTGGAGTCAGGTGCCGAGATAGACGCATCAAGGACACCCCCTGAGATAGACCCATTCAGGACACCTATCGGGTCAACGCCATTGAACCTCGCAGTTTCTCACGGCCATTTCGAGATTGCCCACATTCTTGTGGAGAAGGGAGCCAACACGGATGAGCTCTTTACCAGGAAAAACCTGATCGATGCAGTTATATATAGCTCTCTGAACATGGTCCGCTTCCTAGTTGAAATGGGTTGTGACAAAGAGATGACCGACGAGTGGGGTGCAACACCTCTGATCGCTGCAGCTCAACGTGGCTACTTGAAAACTGTCCGCTTTCTCGTGAAGTCTGGTGCCAGTCCTCATGCTGCAGACATCTTCGGAAAGACTGCTTTGGATCACGCATCCTTGTGTGGCCATGCGCGCGTTGTTCGCTATTTGTCTGACAAGGCAGACTCGCCCAGAAGGAAAGTCCGAAGATTGAACAATTCGAGCGGTTGAAATTGAAGGAACAAAGTGCGAGGGTGACCATACAGGGTGAGACTGGGAAGTCTTTGATATGGAGGTTTCCTAAAATGTGGGGTACCCCAAATCATCCAACTTAGAGCATATTCTAGTATTGGAACCCATAGTGGCTTGGGAATATGATGGAATATGATTAAATATGATTGGTTGTTGTTCAATAGCTGCCAGACACAGGGCTCTATCAGGACAATCACAAACAAAAATGAACCGCTCACCAATCACGGAACACGACTGGGCCGGTGGCTGACGACTTCAAAAAAGGCATAAGAAAGGGACATGCGGACCATAATCTGAACAACATCAAAACCCCTGTTGGTTGATGAGTATAGGCTCATTATAGGGATGTACACGCCAGATCGTATCACGATGGTTCTTTTTGAACAGTTCATTGTTGTTACTTAAAGCCCCATGATGTGTTGGCCAAAAGGCAGTTTCTGTTGGGTTTGCCCGACACGTTTAAATCAAGTGTTTTGAAGATTACACCTTTCTCGTAGTGTATTAAATGTCCTATAATATTATTGCTGGTTAAACAGTCTAACATGTTATTTGTGTCATTTGAACCATAAAACCCCACGCATCCCCAGCCTTTGTTCGAAAAAAACACCTTTGTTTCCTCGAAAGGTTTTCATTTGTTTGGGGACATAATATATATATATATATATATCCCATAGGCTCTATGTATGATATATTTACCTACATAACTGGGTGATTTTGTTTGGGCAAATGTTGGTAAATCTTCCAGCACCATGGGTTGCATATGGGTATTAGAATATATTAGATAAACCCAGTTTCAATAGGTAAGTCGGGTTCAGTCATCATAGTCATCATCCCACTTTCTGTGTGGGCCATCTACTTGGAGGTTCATCCCAGTTAGTTCACCAGTGACTTTTTGTGGAGATTGCCCCTACAAAAAACGCCCATTGAAACCAGGGTGAACTCTAACATGTTATGAGTTATAAGCATCTAAAACCTACTTACGATTTGTGGGATGAACTGGATGAACCACCAAGTATATATAATATATAATTATAATTATATACATATATATATACCATACATAGATACCATCTGTTACTACCGAGGCAAAGATACCTCGGTGGAACGCCGCCGAGAGACGGAGCGCCTCGACGTGGACAGCACGCGCCGGATCGATGTGGATCCCAAGAGGCGCGGGTGAATGATGAATGCTGGGTTTTCCCAATGAAAATCCCATTGATAATGATTATGAGTGAACAGGGGTTTCGGACCCATAGCCAGATGTGTCATATGTGATTGTTTCACGTTAAGACTGATCTGGTTGGTGGTTTGGAACATGAATTTTATTGTTCCATATATTGGGAATAATCATCCCAACTGACTTTCATATTTTTCAGAGGGGTAGGTATACCACCAACCAGCAGAAAAAAATATGATTTAGGGGTACCCAATTTTCAGAACACCTCCAAAGATATCATATTTAAATTGATTTAATATAATCCAATATGCAACCCATGGTGCTGGAAGATTTACCAACATTTGCCGGAACAAAATCACCCAGTAATGTAGGTAAATATACCAGCACCATGGGTTGCATATGGGTAATATGGTTAAAACAATGTCATAAACTAGCCATTTAGTCAATCTATGGTTGATAATGGTTGATGATGGTTAATAACGGTTAATAATTGGAATAATGTGGTTAAAACAATGTCATAAACTAGCCATGACTGGGAATGGTAAGTTTATACAGTACCACCTATAAAAATGGTGATGACTGGGGGATGGTTTATGACATTGTTTTTAACCACATTATGGCAACCCTGGCAACTCTCAATCATGGAGAAACTGTATCATGTTTTCGATGATTTGTTGAGGGGTCTGAACCGCAAAACTTTCTGGTGAATTTCTTAACAGGACAACCACTCAGAAGGGGATTTAGCAATGATCTAGAGAGAGTTGCAATTGGCCGACATGTTTTTTTTTGTGAAAACCCAGTGTGGTGAATAAATGTAACATGTGTTCCATTCAGAAGGGGGTTTAACGATCGAAAGAGAGTTTAAATTGGCTGAAAAAAAAACAAATGTATAAGTGTATTAATTAATATTATTAAGTGTATAATTGGCTAAAAATAAATTAACACAAGAGAGTTTAAGCGGCTAGGAGTGGAAGCAGCACAAAGGGGATTTATGACGTCAGAACGTTTGCTTCGCGATGGACCCAGAATTCACCTTGGGTCGTAACTGGCCACGTCTGTCGTAGTTCATAATACCATGTGGTAATTCATGGTGAATTCATGTGAATTCTAGATGCGTTGCCTATTTAAAAAGCGTGGGTGTTCCATAGCTATGTTAAATTAGCAGATCCAATATGCAACCCATGGTGCTGGAAGATTTACCAACATTTGCCGGAACAAAATCACCCAGTTATGTAGGTAAATATACCAGCACCATGGGTTGTATATGGGATTTGCTCATTTAACATAGCTGTGTGACTATTAAAAATATTTAAAAATAAACCATTGGGGTTTTCCTTAATATGTTTAATTATTAATAACCATCCACAACTAATATAATTTAACATAGATCCTTAACGTTAACTCTTGGGGTTGTCCTTCATATCGCTATATTTATGTGGAAAACTCATGAAGACTCCACCAGTGTTTGTTTTTTCCCGGTGATTCATCCCGTGGCTGGCATCTGTGATGATTTTTTGAATTTGCGGCAATTTTGGTGATTTAATGGGACCTTATGGTGATTTCGTTGGATTTAATGTGATTTTATGGTGATTTCATGGTGATTTAATGGGATTTAATGGTAACTTAATGCTGATTGGATGGACATTTGATGGTGATTTAATGGGACTTCAAAATGTGATCAAATGGATTATAAATGGGATATAGCCTCTGTTTTTTGTTTCACATAGCTATTGAAAATGGATAAAATGACAACAGAAATAATTGATTTATCCATTAAACATTATGATTTTCCATAGTTATGTTAGTAGTTTACCAGAGGGTATATATATATAACATTATATAACCCATATTGTAACATTGTTTGTAAAACCCATTTTGAAGCAACTATAATACATATTTAACATTTAATCTATATTATTCTGATGTTAGATATATGATGTAAACTATTTTTAGACAAACCCAACATTGTTTATATATACGTATATAACCCATTTATAGTCCATATAACTGGTGATAGTTCCATATATAAGTGTATTAATTAATATTATTGCATGTAATTGTAAATTGTTATGTGTTTGATGGTTGACCAAATCCATCATGCTTCAATCAAAGCATCACCAACCAACCATATCATTTACGGTTCTATTTAGACTTTGTAAGTGTGATTCAACAGTTTATTCTAGATTCATATCCCCGAAGCATAACCATAACGCAACACAAAAAATGGTTGTTTCTCTATGTTCATGGCCCAGGAAGGATACCAAGGAGGCGGGTGGTCGGGGCCAGTTGTCCAGCCGCCAACTGGTTTTTGCTCTTTGCTTTCGCTTGATGTTCCATGTATTTTTTCGGGATGATGCTGCCCCATGACCAATATTTTCGGTAGGATTGAAAACGTAACAGTCTCGTGCTTGAGGATGTGTTCATATTTTGGTGGCCAGTGGTGGCTGAATTAAGCACCAACCAGTTTGCAAAACATGACTTGAAAACATCGCTGATCCAGCGTCGAAGGTTTAGATTTTGTCAGATGCGCCGCAGCTGGGCAGGATAAAAAGAAAAAGGATAAAGACAAAGACAAAAAGAAGAAGGACACAGAACTCTGATCAAACTTGCAACCACCAACCCACCAATGGTATGGTTAGGTTTTGGTTTTCAACTATTCAACTTTGGGGGGGAGAAGTTTGGCCCAGAATCCCCAGGATGAACACAAAAGAAAGCTTTGGGTCCAATAAATCTGTGGGAAACAAATAATAGAATTGTTTAGAAATCATGTTCGCTATGAAAATGACAAGATTCGGGGTATATCTCAGTTCTGCGCAAACCTAACTAACAATGTGTTGATAATAGTAGTTGGCGCGGAAAACATTGATTCCTGCTGGCTGGACATCCAATATCATCCAATGGTTTCTGGTAATTCTTGGGGCTAAGCACGGCTACTAATATCGGACATCATCTAAAAAGAGACAGAGAAAATACCCATGGTGATGGAATATTTTCCAACATTTGCCCGAACAAAATCACCCGAATGTAATTAAATTAAATGGTATTGAATATACCAGCACCATGGGTTGCATATGGAGCATATCTCGAATCCACGGAGGGTTTGACGCCCTTGGAGCTTCTTTGCGGTGTCCTCCACTGAGCTGCAACGGGTGTCAAGACGGAGAATGTTTTTTTTTCACATCGGTAGCCACAAAAAATGTGGTTTTGAGCCGTCATAAACCATCCCCAGAGAATGTTAATTGATGTTAATTGGAGGTTTCCTAAGTCATGGGAGTACCGGAGTACCCCCAGTTTTCATCCATAGAAATAGATTGTATTTTCCATGATTCATCAACCATCCAGCGGGTAGCCCCATTTATTTTGGAAACCTCCTCCTGGCAGGAGAAGAAGGATAAGAAAGGCTCCCAAGTCGTGGTGCTTGAAACACCAGGAACTCCAACTGCTTATGGAGTTCCTGAAAGGTGAGATTTGATGATATGTTATGAACGTTTATCAATGTTTATCAATGTTTATCATGTTTTATTTATGGGAAATCGGATATCATGGGATATGTAACCACCAGTATCATTTTGGGTTTGTTTAAAGAGCGGGTATACTGCTACCCCCGAATTTATGACTTGTTCATAGGTGGATTTGCAGAAGAAAACTGGTCGATAATAGGGAACGAAGTCCACCCATTGTCGTGTTGGATGTCTTCGATTAACCGACGATTAGAGAACCGCATTAAACAAAAGTGCAAAAAGCAAACTACTAAGAACATCTAAGAACATTGTGTACAAGGTGGTGCCCCCCAGTTATAAGTTGGTTTATAATCCCATTAACTATAGATATATCACCTATAAACCATAGTTATTGGAGTTATAAACCGTTATAAACCAACTTAGCTATCTAGGGGGCACCACCTTGTAGTATGCCCATGACCTGTATTTGTTTCACAAAGAATGATCTGTGTCAGCTGGTTGGTGGTTTGGAGCATGTCTTATTTTTCCATATATTGGGAATAATAATCCCAACTGACAACTGACAAATATTTTTTCCAGAGGGGTTGAAACCACCAACCAGTCAGTGTTTTTTTTCTTAATGAGTTGCATTTCCTCGCTTTAATTCGAAGGGGGTAACTTTGAGAGTCCCAATTCTGGGTAGTGTCCATTGGTTTATATGATTATATTATATGATCTTTTCATATTCAGACAATCCATTGTGCTTCATGATTCAGGTCGATATATATATATATATAGGTATTGACCCACATGATCCGTTATATATATATAATATATTTATATATATCATTATATATATCCCAAAAAAAAGGCTTGGATGATCCCAAAAAAGGAACCCAGGAACCCAACAAAAAGATTCAGAAGTTGGTAAATCATTGGTAAATCCCCCGAAAAATGGTGAAGATTATATCTGTTCTATCTTTCTGGGGGATGAAGTCCGAAGTCCCATCCATTCAAACCCCCCATGAAGGTCGGTCGGCGTGGACTATCCCCATTTTTGTGGATTGTTTAAGGGTCAACCGACCAGATACGAACTACAAAATCGTACTTAAATATTTTAAACATATCTCAATGGTATCATGTTCGCCATGTTATCTAGATTCAAAAGATTACGAATGATGTTATCTAAGATTCAACATGTGTTGCCTCCTCTAAGATTAACAATGATGTTATTTTACCGATCTCGATGATACCATGTGCATTCACCAGCGAAACAATGATGTTATCTAATGGTATCTACTACATTAGTTACCTACAGTATTCTATAGCTATAGATATCTATCCCAGATGCTCCATGGTGCTGGAATATTTACCTACATTTACCCGAACAAAATTGCCCCGTTATGTCGGTAAATACTCCAGCACCATGGACACTGAAAATCCATGCCAGGTGAAGAGGACGAGGCGACCAGTAGCCTTGCTTTAGGGGGCCGGTGAACTATTAAGGGATCGTTTAGGTCGGTTAGTCCACCCGAGTTCGAAGTGGACGAAGCCTACTTGGCCCAATTTAGTAAGGGTTATAAGTTATAAGTTATAAGATGTTTTTTAGCTACTTACCAAGTGGGATAATTGTAACTAGGGTTATAACTTAAAAATGTTATAAGTAACCTACTTGCGATTCGTGGGATGAACCACCAAGTAGGTTAATAGATACGCTGGAGTTAAGCAGCATAGGTGTGGAAAAGCCGTCGTTTTCCGTTCGGAAAATGATGTAGAAATAGTGGGGAACACCACGTCTATGTTAGTTCAGAGGAGGGTATAGCCATTGCTTGTAGATACCTCGACCCTCTAAATACCCCACTATACTGAAATTACGGGGTAAATTACAATTTTTAAGGGTACTTGGAGGGTCTAGGTATAATCAATTATAATCATATATCATGGAATGATATATTCTATACATTTCTATACTATACTGTAATTCTATTTATTTCATATAATTGATATCAGTAAATAGAAACTATTTAAGAGCAGTGGCTGCGAGACAGCCCTATTGGTCGATTATAATCCGGGTTTTACTACCCGTTATATATTGGGGAGTGGCATAATCTATGTGGATTCCATTGGATTCCTATGAACCAACCAGCTTTTTTTCATTTTTTTTCATTTTTTTTCATTTTTTAGAGGGTTTTTCCCCACCTGCCAGGTGAGGGTTGTTAGATTTTATGTCAGTTGCCTGCTCCTCCTCTCCTCTCCTCTCCTCATCTCCTCTCCTCCTCCTCGTCGTCCTCCTCGTCGTCCTCCTCGTCCAACTGCGACCCGCGATCCACAGTGTTCTCTGTCGGACCTCAACCACGACAATCCACGCCCAGTGTGCCCTGCCGGACCTCAACCACGACCATCCACGCCCAGTGTTCCCTGCCGGACCTCAACCGCGAGTATCCGGGCCCAGTGTTCCCTGCCGGACCTCAACCACGGCCATCCACGCCCAGTGTTCCTTGCTGGACCTCTAAAGGACCTTGTCTGAAAATTATGCCAGTAGCTTCTGAAAGATGGCAAAACTGTGAGTTTGAAGACTCAGCTGGGAACAATGTGACCTGCGCTGGGCCCCAGTGGTGCCGACTTTGGCAACTGGAGGTTTAGAGACTCCAGTCGGTCTGCCTCTCAAGGCCAGGATGCAGACTTTGCGAGACAAAGACCTTGGGATGAGAACAGAAGCCCAGAAATCCACGTGCCACCGCCGAAAAACCTGCAAGGAACATAAACTCCGAGCTGTCCTGACAGATTTTGCCACCAAGATCAAGGAGCGCTGAAGGAACTTGTTGGGTCTTGAAATCCTTGCCACTCCGAATCCTGGAGCCTTGAAATCAGAGGAAGATTACGCAACCGTAACTCGGCTGGTGGCTCAAGTTCACAAAAGTCGGGCACAAAAATGTGTCAAGATGCTTTGGCCAACGGATTGGCAGCTGTCTTTGGAGGTTGTCTTCGAGCGCTTGGAAGAACCATTCTGAGTTTTGGCAGTCAGTTAAGGCAACCTAAGCACGATTTCTCACACTGAGCTTTTTGAGTGTGTGAGTTACGGATTGCTGGCTTCTCCCTGGCAAATTCCCATAAGAATACGCAACGTTGGGATTTCAACTTTGATTGGGCGAAGGGAATTTCACCGACTTGAAATGTATACTGGACGCTTGTGGATTTACTCCTTTCAAAGATATGGCCCTATGGCTGGACAAGTAGGCATGACTGAAGAAGGAATGTTCGCATATTTGGCAAGCAGATCACGAGGGATCGGGCCAACATAGCTGCCCATCCTACCGTTCGGATACCATTTAAGTGGATGAATTCAACTGGAAAATCAACCGCTTGAATCCATTTGATACCATTTTGTAGATTGGTTAACCATTGGTTAACCATTGGTTAATATGAGTTTCTAGTATCTTTCACCCATTTTTCAATTTTACATCGCAGGACGGCAAGAAAAAGAAGAAGGACAAGAAGAAGAAGGTGCCACTGGCGTCCTCGACAAAGCCCCAAAGATTTGGGGGGGATTCCATGGGATTCCATGGGATTCTGCGACGCGGAGTCGCAAAGATGACATGAACCATACATAGTGATTCAATGTGTTTCACAAGGTGGTGCCCCCTAGATAGTTAAGTTGGTTTATAACTCCAATAACTATGGTTTATAGGTGATATATCTATAGTTAATGGGATTATAAACCAACTTATAACTGGGGGGCACCACCTTGTAGTGTTTTAATGTGTTTCATGGTTTTAAGCGTCTCTCAAGGACATCAAACCTCTATGATATTGTGATATATTGTGATTCTATGATGTGTATGTGTTGGATAAACCGCAACAAGGTATGCGACATAGCTTCGAGAATCTTTTGCTTGCTTGGTGTGAAAAAGTCAGCGAACAACTTGTCCATCCCACTAGTCGCATTCATCACTGAAAGTAGCAGCGTCCTTTTTCTTGAGAACACCTACCCTCTGGTTATTTAACATAGCCATGGTATAGATGGCCCATAGAAATAGATGGTTTACCCATTAAAAATGGTGATTTTGCACGGCTATGTTAGTCATAACCAGAGGCTATCAATCGGCGACCGTGTCAGAGATTTTCATGGTGGACTTCCCGACGACTGTCGGGGTGGGTGTTCACTGACCCCGATGGGGCGACGCGACAGGATAAGAAAGACAAACATCAGAGCCGGAAGCCCCAGTTGAATCCCTCCCCTGTTTTTTTTGTGGAAAAAACCATGTTTTCAAAGAGACATTGGGTTACTGGGTTACTATATTATATGTTTCAATCCCCATGTTGGTTGGTTAAACATGGAATGTCCCACTTGTTGCCGGAATTTTCAAGCGACAAGATCCATTGAAGAATTCAAGCAACTGGCCCCAAACATCTTCAGTTTTGAGTAAGTTTGATCAACCAAAGTGCAACAACGCCCTGAATTTAACCAAAAAGAAACTGGCATGTATCATCATTTACCATCATTTACCATCATTTACCATCATTTACCCCAGAATTCTGGTACATTTACCGTAGTTAGTTTTCATGGCCAAAGCCCCGGGTCAAGGCATGGCCTCTCAGATGTGGAAACCGGCTTGAGGTGAAGCTCAGGAAGAAGAACCGGAGGTGGAGGAACCCATTGAGGTGAGGATTGGGTCGAGGATTGGTTTGATTTCTGGTGGATGACTGGTTGGTGGTTTCAAAATGTTTCAAACATGAATGTTATTTTCCATTTCATATATGGGATAATCATCCCAACTGACGAACTCATATTTTTCAAGATGGTTATATAAAAACCACCAACCAGTTTCTGATGATGAATTTCTGGGAATCTGATGGATGATCATGGGAATATACTGGGAATATGATGGATAATATTGATATATATATATATACCCCATGGATCCAGCCGTAGCTTGCGAAGTGTGACTGGTGATGGCAGGCTTTGCCGTACCTCAGTGTTTGGATCCACGGGTTTCATAGCAGCTTTGTGTCGGATTGGCATCCGGTTCTTCACGGAGTTTGATTCGTGGGATTACATATAGATTACCCTCCAGTTAAACTAACATGGCTATGGAAACCATGGCCCATGAAAAAAGAGGATTTACCTATGGAAATGGGGATTTTCATGGATTTTCCAGTTCGCTATGTGACAAATGACCAGAGAGTACCATATTTCCCACATTCCCATGTTGCTGAAGAGTCTTTACATATTTTGTTGTGGTCATCATGATGATCTCATCCAAGATTCACCAAACTCCCGCCACGAAACGCTGGTGAAGTGTATTGGGATTATTGGATCTACTCCGGAATCGAGTTCCCTTATGGTCCCTTATTACTAGGGGATACTATGGGTACAGGGCTAGGGTGATTGGTTCACCAATGATCCATTTGGTAGTTTGACACTTTTCTATATGGAAAATGGAGGAACATTGCGCAATATTGCGAATTTATTTCGATGATTTTAATTAATTTTAAATATCTTTCAGGGCATGGTGATTGTTCTGTAGCCTTTTTGAACATGACCTAAAATTACCAACCTATTCCCATCCAAAAATTCCACCCATCCTGTCGTCGCCAGGCACCGGAATCCTTCGAGACCATGCCCTCAGTGGGGACTTGGCTCATGTCTTTCACCGAGGACAGGGAAGACCGAGGCGAATGGATGGGGAATTTTAGGGAAAATCCATGAAAATCCCATAAGAATGCACGATTTAGGGGTACCCAATTTTCAGGAAACCTCCAGATATATCATATTTGAATTGATTTAATGTAATCCAAATGCTCCATGTATGGAATATTTAATCATCCAGTTATGTAGGTAAATATACCATACATGGAGCATATGGGTAATGTGGTTAAAACAATGCCACAAACCACCCATGACTGGGAATGGTAAACATACCACCTATAAGAATGATGAAATTGGGGATGGTTTATTATTGTCTTACCAACATTATACACATAATATTGGATCATATTTGGCTGAATCATAGATATTGGACGGAACAGTCACCACCTGAAATGATGTCATGAAGAGCATCATCCCAACAATACATCCATGATTGTCAATTTCTGTGAAGTCAATATATGGTTTGCCATATTAATCCACACGGAGATCCAGGCTCCCTGGTTTTCACATCACTTTTTTTTAATTGACTCAACAATTTCAACCACCAGCACGTCAGCACGGTGAACAGACGTCTGACCAGAGTCTGACCCTTTCGCCTTCTCAGATCAACGGAAAAAAAAACATATGAGGTCTTTCCCAGAGAGATACCCTCTGGTTATGTAAAAATAGCTATTGAACATGGCCATTTATAGTGAAATTTCCCATTAAACATGGTGATTTTCCATAGTTATGTTAGTTTACCAGAGAGATATATTCAATGGATTGGTTTAAGGGACAATTTTAACCGAAAAGCCCCATATTTAATGGGAAAATAACTCTGGTTTCCGGTTCCGATTTTCCCTGAAAAACTAATCCATTGAGATATGAGATATGTCGAGGAACCTCTGGGCTTGGCGCGCCATCCACATTTCTGTAAAAAAAAAATCCTCTGGCAAACATGGCAATGGAACATAAGCCATTTTCATAAGATGATTGTCCCATGGGCCAATCAAAAAAACCTCCAATTGTAGGGGATTTCCCAGCTAGCCATGTTTCATTGCTGGAGGGTACACGATTTCAAGAGGGAATGTATCCATCTACAAGGTGGTGCCCCCCAGTTATGTTTGTTGGTTTATAATCCCATTAACTAGTTCGATATATCACCAACAAAAACCATAGTGAAATTGGAGTGATGTTCACCAACTTAGCTATCGAACGGAGGCACCACCATCTAGAATTCAAGAACATGGTCAATGGTCAACTCTGATTTCTGCAGGCCTTGAAAATTTTTCGGGATGCAACTTTCGGTCGATCCATGTTGCAAAACATTACCCTCTGGTAATTTAACATAGCTATTGAAACTGGTGATTTATAGTGGATTTTTCCATTAAAACATGTGATTTTCCATAGCTATGTTAAATTACCAGAGGGTATGGTTCAATAACATGTGGTTGATCAATGATGATCCACAGAGTTGAAAGTCTAATTTTTGGGGCCCGTGAATTGCCAATGTTCAGTTCAAAGTGGTATCATGTGGTGCTATAATTGTGATCATATAATGGTGATATAATGGTGCAATAGATGTCACCATTATATTATCACCATTATTCGATGATACTAATAAAATCTAATATTCATGTATTAGAATATTCAATTGTCATCACATTGTTCCACCTATTATTTCATTGTATCAATATACCCTTTGGTCATTTAACATAGCCATGGAAGCCATGGCTCATTTATAGATGATTTTCCCAGCGAACTAAACCTCCATTTATAAGGGATTTTCCAGTTCGCTATGTTAAATAACCAGAGGGTAGATGGCACCAGATGAGCACCAGGACATGTTGCTTCGTCCCGTCTCCGTGGAAGCTCGAAGACTCGAAGGGACGCGTAAAGGGCGGGGAGGACGTGGATGGCCCCCAGATACACCAGTGAAATCCTATGAAATTCCTATGAAATCCTGTGAAAATAGTGGTAAATGGATGTAAATGGATGTAAATGGATGTAAATGGATGTAAATGGATGTAAATGGATGTAAGTGGATGTAAATGGATGTAAATGGATGTAAGTGGATGTAAATGGATGTAAATGGATGTAAATGGATGTAAATGGATGCGAAATAACTGTTCTATCTTTTTGGGAAATTGGAAAGAGCCGTTTATGAAAATGTTTGTTATGTGATCCCACATAGTAGTCGACAACCACTACAGATCCTATGTGTACCGATGATCCTCAAAGATCAACTGGGAAGCCGTGGCGATCTTCATTCCTGGATCGAACACTGTCTGGATTACACATGAATGTCCCTTCATTGACAATCTCTATTCTCGTAAGAGGTTTCCTAAAATGGGGTAGCCCCAAATCATCCAAGTCATTAGACCATTTTAGTATGTGTTAGTATTGAAACCTATGGTTTTTGGTATCCTTTTTGGGAAACCTCCATAAGTCACCTAGCGGACACGGCGGCTTACAGCGATTGCGACCGTCGGGTCATTTTCAAGACAGCTACAGCTGTAGCCCTCAGTGGGACCAAGTAATTTCCAAGATGCCCCAACAAAATCAGTTACCCTCTGGTAAATTAACAGTTCGACCCTGGCAGTTGTCGGGGTTGGAAGATTAGTGAAACCATTAAAACTAGGCTATTTTCAGGGTCTATGTTAATTTACCAGAGGGTATCAGTTCCCAAATGGGTCTGGAAATATGGTGTGTAGCCCCTAAAAATAGTGCTATTACTATTTATAGGGAAACATATATATCATGGGAATATCATTCATAATGATGAACTATATCAAGTCATATGAAGTCTTGGGCTACCCCTATATTAAAAAATGGCTATTATTGCTAATAGGTAAATTCAAAATATCATGCAATGATGAACGTTAGTCTTGGGGTACCGCTATTGACCCAAGATCCAAGCGCTTCAACGTCCACGTCCAAGGAATCACCAACATCGGTGGCCGAATCCCTCTATTCGGCGACCTTTGGTGTCGAAGCCGTTGGCAAACTCAGGGGCTGAAACGATTCGGAACCGTCGTGGAAAGGACGAAACGGAGATCCATTGGTCATCCTGAATTCATGGGAAATCCTGGATGACATGATGGATGACAGAAAGTGATGACATTATGCTTTTTTTGTGACCATTTTTGTTGATAATTATGGATGTCTTGATGACTATGTATACCTTCTTTTTTACCATTGTAGTTGATATATATATATATATATATATATTGGTATGGTTAGTAATTAGATCGGATGACTACAGTAGCGAACTTGACACCAATGACAAGCCCAACAATTGTGTTGCTTTGAACGGCATCAAGTGGCTTTGTGAATTCAAATAAGGTGCCCCAGTATCCGATGGTTTGTCATAGTTTCGTCATTTCAACGGCCTTTTTGGGATATTTCCCCTTTCCCAAATGCTCCATGGTGCTGGAATATTTACCAACATTTGCCGTAAAAATCACCCAGTTATGTAGGTATAAATATACCAGCACCATGGAGCATTTGGGGTTATAAGCAAACCCAAAGCCAATCGTTTTTAGGGCGCTGCCCCCTGTTGCCGCCGTCAGTTTGTGGCTGATGCTCTACTGTCAGCCGCATTTGGCCAGTTGACACCGGAGCGGCAGCGGAGGGGCCGGATCTGGAGATGAATGTGCACATCCTCTGGTAATCAAACGTTGCTGGAAAAGCCCCTTATAAATAGAGGTTTACCGGTAAATAGAATAGAGGTTTAAATGGGAAAAACATGTCTAAAAGGGAAATTGTCCGTTGCCATGCTTGATTCCATGAGGGTAAATACTATTTAGAGTTGGTATGGAGTTGGTAGGCACCACAGCAAACCAAAGTCCAAAGTCCTGATATATGGAAACCCAGTCCACAACAGTCTTGTTTCGAATTTCACAACTGAAATTTCTGCCCGGAAACATGGTATTTGTTTCCCAGTTATCGAATGTGTCCATCCCAGAAATATCCAAAAATGCTTCAGCCTGTATTACAGTCACCGAGTCACCTTGAGGGGGCAGTGTTTTAAAGTGCAAAATACTCCTCCGGATCCACCACGAAGAGATAAGCAATTTTTGTGGCCAACTTGGGCTACTCAAATCCCGGTCGAGTCTTGTGAATACTCGTGCTAGAAGCGACTGCGATAAAAAAAATGTGTATATCAACAATTGTTGGTGGATCCAATGTATTTTCGTTGCATGCTAATGATGACTCCCCCGCAGTATTCACTAACCCCGATAAACCATGTTTCAGTGGAGAGGTTACACATATTTGGGACCATACAATGGATGTTGTTTAATATATAAGGGGGACGGGTTTGTTTTAGCTTATTCACACGCATCTCCTTCATCCCAAATGTTCTTGGTTTTGCTTCCCCCGTTGTTCATTGAACATTAAAATAGCACATGGAAGCACCAAGAAATGATAAGAAAATGATATGGGTCGAGATACCATAGTTGGAAAACCCAGAAAACATGAAAACGGTTTTGTTTGCTCTTATATAACACATTTTCAACCTTTACAATTGGCCAGTAGATCCCCCAAGTAGAAAAAGCTATGCAGAAACAAGAAACTTGGACCTAAAGCAATCTCCAAAGAGATGCCGAACAGTTTCTCCATTTCTCCAGGTTTTCCAGGATCTTATATATATAATTATATATACTGTTCTATCTATATTGGGGTTATATATGTATATAGATTTCATATAGCAATCACATATGATCATATGTTACATATATAAAGCCAAACTTTCTATCATATATATATATATAAAACACTAGTTTTACCTATGGGGTTGCTAAAGGTAGAACCAAACTTTCCGTTGTCGCAGGAGGCGGTGGAAGATTTGACCGATGAGATCATCGTCAGCTGTCCCCAGGGGTCCCCAGGGGGGATTGATAAATGGTGAATTTTCTATGGACATTCACTGGAAAAAAAAATGGTGGCTTGGCGTTTTCTAATGTGTTGAATGTGTTATATTAATTGCTGAATTAATTACGTTTGTATTAATAGATTGATGCTGTTTGCTTTTTTGGCATAATCCTGGCAGCCTGGCCTATAGTGAAGCTGAGGCTGAGCAGGCGGATCAGGAGCGCTTCGGTTTCCGTTTGTGGTTAGGAAACTAGAGGAATTATTTAAGGAGTACCCGTTTTTTTTGAATAAAATAGATGAAGATTTGGATACATTTGGGATCATTTGGGACATGATTCATTCTATAATATATTCAATCCTTCGTTCCAAGAAGTCCTCCGTTCGTGGTTTTGATGTGAAATTTTCGGAGCAAGCGCAAGCACAAAGCCTGGGATCCGCAGAACATCCACCAGAATGCGAAAGAAATTTGTGGCACCAGAATGGTTTTTGTTTTTTTTCAAACATTGGATGGGGGGGTGGGGGGGAGAATGATCCTCAAAATAGTCCAAATATGTCCAAGTTTGATTCCAACTCTGTTTGATTCCACAGTTGTTTCTCTATCAAAAATACAAGCCAGCATTGACCGAACATGACCGAACAACCATGGACTCGAAAAAATATTGAACCAAGAAATGGCCTAGGTGAGGCCCCCCTGTTGTGTTTGGTGTCGTTTCACCCCATGAATACTAGAGGTTACATCCCCGAGAAAACATTCCCCTGAAACCCAGCAGTTCACCAAGTGAGCGTCAACTTGGCGATAGGAGACCGAAGCCACAACTCTTGAGATGGCACGTGCCGTGCGGGCGCCTGATGGTGATGAAAACATAAGTTCTTGGTGAAGTGTGAAATCTATATAGTTCAGGACATACACTTAGAACACCATTTGGAAAACGCATGGTGGAAACTTCGGCAGCGGAATGTGTTCTAAGTAAAAAAACATACACTTAGAACATGTTCTAAAAGGTACTTAGAACACTTTGGGGTAATTTATGTGTTCTAAGTGTATGTCCGTAATTTCAATTATGTAAAGGATTGGTACAACCTTCGGCAGGGGGTCAATGGATACATAGATAATCAATATGATAATCCCAAAAATAAACCATCCCATTAAATAATCATTTGGGCCACATGTGGAGGTCATTTCACATCATCTCAAATAGAGCTATACCGAAAATTATCTAATTGGAAATATCTTTTTGGGGATGGTATACCCACATTCCCCAGCTGTATATATATATATATATTATATATATATACATTATGTATGTATACCAGGGTCCCTTTGCAGATCCACATAAAGCAACTAGCAAAGGAAGATGGGATTGGAGTGAAAATTCAGCTGGAACCCCAAACCAAAGGGCGTTCAAACTCTCCGTTGGTGGCCAACAACAACTAAATTCATCTCAAAAGTATATCTATATATATATGTGTGTGTTTAGATGGAAGTTAACACATTTTTGGGTGATCTTGGTGGCCTCCCTAGGTGGCCAACCACACACTTAGAACACTTCAAACATGTTAAATTTATTATGAAGTTGGTGACTGGTGTTAATGTTTGACACAGACACACACACATGCTCTCTGTCCTTCGAGTGGCCAACAGCCAAAAAAAACATGTCACTAGTAATTGATTAATTATATTTTCGAAATGGACAATTAAACACATTTCTGGGTGATGTTGGTGGCCTCCCTACTAAGTGGCGAAACAAACACTTAAAACACTCGCAAAAAAGGACAAATGCAATACTCAAGTTGGGGACAGTGTTTGATACACATGGTCTCCGTCCTTCGAGGGGCCAACAACAACTAAACCAATCTCAAAAAATATCCATTTCAAAAGGGAACTTAAACAAATTTCTGGGTGATGTTGGTGGCCTCCCTAGGTGGCGAACCGGACACTTAGAACACTTGTAATAAGGGAACATTGTACTCAAGTTGGTGACAGTGTTTGATATATATGCTCCCCGTCCTTCGAGTGGCCAACAACAAATAAACCCATGTCAGAAGTAATTATCGATCTTAAAAGGGCACTTAATGCATCTTAAAGCACATGTCTGGGTGATGTTGGTGGCCTCCCTACTAAGTGGCGAAACAAACACTTAAAACACTTGCAAAAAAGGAAAAATGCAATACTCAAGTTGGTGACAGTGTTTGATACACATGGTCTCCGTCACGTCCTTCGAATGGCCAACAACAAATAAAAACCCATGCCACAAGTAATCATTAATTTATAAACGAAACTAAAAAGCAAAAACATTTCTGGGTGATCGTAGTGGCCTCCCTAGGTGGCGAACCACACACTTAGAACACTTGGAAAAAGGGAAATTTATACTCAAGTTGGTGACAGTGTTTGATACACATGCTCTCCGTCAGTCGAGTGGCCAACAACAAATAAACCGGTATGACACAAGTAACTATAAATTTAAAAAGGACGCTTTAACACATTTCTAGGTGATGGTGGTGGCCTCCCTAGGTGGCGAACCCCTCACTTAGAACACTTGCAAAAAGGGAAAAACAACAATATTCAAGTTGGTAGCACTGTTTGATACACATGCTTTCCGTCCTTCGAGTGGCCAACAACAAATAAACCCATGTCACAAGTACTTATCAATTTTCAAAGGGAACTTAAACAAATTTCTGGGTGATGTTGGTGGCCTCCCTAGGTGGCGAACGAGACACTTAGAACACTTGTAATAAGGGAACATTGTACTCAAGTTGGTGACAGTGTTTGATACACATGCTCTCCGTCCTTCGAGTTGCCAACAACAAATAAACCCATGTCACAAGTAATTATCTATCTTAAAAGTACACTTAATGCATCTTAAAGCACATGTCTGGGTGATGTTGGTGGCCTCCCTACTAAGTGGCGAAACAACACACTTAAAACACTTGCGAAAAAGGAAAAATGCAATACTCGAGTTGGTGACAGTGTTTGATACACATGGTCTCCGTCACGTCCTTCGAGCGGCCAACAACAAATAAAAACCCATGCCACAAGTAATCATTAATTTATAAACGAAACTAAAAAACAAAAACATTTCTGGGTGATGGTAGTGGCCTCCCTAGGTGGCGAACCACACACTTAGAACACTTGGAAAAAGGGAAATTTATACTCAAGTTGGCGACAGTGTTTGATACACATTCTCCCCGTCCTTCGAGTGGCCAACAACAAATAAGAACCCATGCCACAAGCAATCATTAATTTTAAAACAACACTAAAGAACAAAAACATTTCTGGGTGATGGTAGTGGTCTTCCTAGGTGGCGAACCACACACTTAGAACACTTGGAAAAAGGGAAATTTATACTCAAGTTGGTGACAGTGTTTGATACACATGCTCTCCGTCAGTCGAGTGGCCAACAACAAATAAACCGGTATGACACAAGTAATTATAAATTTTAAAAGGACGCTTTAACACATTTCTAGGTGATGGTGGTGGCCTCCCTAGGTGACGAACCACACACTTAGAACACTTCCAAAAACAGACATTTAATACTCTGGTTGGTGACTGGTCAGGATGTTTGACAGACCTGTTCTTCATCCCTCCAATGGTCAACAGCAACTAACCCCATCTCAAAAGTATTTGTTTTTAAAGGAACCAAATAATCACATTTCTGGGTGATGTTGGTGGCCTCCCTAGGTGGCGAACCACTCACTTAGAACACTTGCAAAAAGGGAAAAACAACAATATTCAAGTTGGTAGCACTGTTTGATACACATGCTCTCCGTCCTTCGAGTGGCCAACAACAAATAAACCCATGTCACAAGTACTTATCAATTTTCAAAGGAAACTTAAACACATTTCTGGGTGATGGTGGTGCCTTCCCTAGGCGGCGGACCACACACTTAGAACACTTGTAATAAGGGAACATTGTACTCAAGTTGGTGACAGTGTTTGATACACATGCTCTCCGTCCTTCGAGTTGCCAACAACAAATAAACCCATGTCACAAGTAATTATCTATCTTAAAAGTACACTTAATGCATCTTGAAGCACATGTCTGGGTGATGTTGGTGGCCTTTTTAGGTGGCGAACCAATCACTTAGAACACTTCCAGAAAGAGAAAATCAATGATTACTCTCGTTGGTGACCGGTCAGAATGTTTGACACACCGTTTCTTCATCCCTCGAGTAGTAAACAGCAACTAACAACATCTCACAAGTATGTTTTTTAAAAGAAAACTTATATAAGCACTGGGTGATGTTGGTGGCCTCCCTAGGTGGCGAACCACACACTTAGAACACTTGCAAAAAAGGAAAAATGCAATACTCAAGTTGGCGACAGTGTTTGATACACATTCTCCCCGTCCTTCGAGTGGCCAACAACAAATAAGAACCCATGCCACAAGCAATCATTAATTTTAAAACAACACTAAAAAACAAAAACATTTCTGGGTGATGGTAGTGGCCTTCCTAGGTGGCGAACCACACACTTAGAACACTTGGAAAAAGGGAAATTTATACTCAAGTTGGTGGCAGTGTTTGATACACATGCTCTCCGTCAGTCGAGTGGCCAACAACAAATAAACCGGTATGACACAAGTAATTATAAATTTTAAAAGGACGCTTTAATACATTTCTAGGTGATGGTGGTGGCCTCCCTAGGTGGCCAACCACACACTTAGAATACTTCCAAAAACAGACATTTAATACTCTGGTTGGTGACTGGTCAGGATGTTTGACAGACCTGTTCTTCATCCCTCCAGTGGTCAACAGCAACTAACCCCATCTCAAAAGTATTTGTTTTTAAAGGAACCAAATAATCACATTTCTGGGTGATGTTGGTGGCCTCCCTAGGTGGCGGACCACACACTTAGAACACTTGCAAAAAGGAAACAAATTGAAAAGGAACACAATACTCAAGTTGGTGAAAGTGTTTGATACACATGCTCTCCGTCCTTCGAGTGGCCAACAACAAATAAACCCATGTCACAAATACTTATCTGCCCAGAAATGTGTTTAGGTTTCCTTTTAAACTGCTAATTACTTAATGCATCTCGAAGGACGGAGAGCATGTGTATCAAACACTGTCACCAACTTGAGTATTGTGTTCCTTTTCAATTTGTTTCCTTTTTGCAAGTGTTCTAAGTGTGTGGTTGGCCACCTAGGGAGGCCACCACCATCACCTAGAAATGTGTTAAAGTGTCGTGTCCTTTTAAAATTGATAATTACTTGTGGCATGGGTTTATTTGTTGTTGGCCACTCGACTGACGGAGAGCATGTGTATCAAACACTGTCACCAACTTGAGTATTGTGTTCCTTGCAATTTGTGTCCTTTTTGCAAGTGTTCTAAGTGTGTGGTCCGCCACCTAGGGAAGGCACCAACATCACGTGATGGTGGTGGCCTCCTTGGTGGGGCTTCCTTAGGTGGCGGACCACACACTTAGAACACTTCCAATAAGAGAAAATCAATACCCAAATTGGTGAGAATGGTTGATACTTTTTTGTGCTACTAGTTATAGGTAGAACCAAACCTTTCAGGCAGCGGGTCGTGATCTTGGTGGCTTTTTAGTGCCTAATGAAAGTAGTGCCTAATTAAACGTCATGTCTTCTGAATAACATGTAAAAGACAATTGAAACATACTGTTATAGATATAAAGTGTTTTGGGGTAGAATTGTATTATATTGTATTATATCATATTAGATTATATTTTATTATATTATATATATTACCCTATTTTATTTTATGTTATACTGCATTTTAATACAATATTGTATATATGCCTTACCAATTGTATTGTATGACTACTTTACATGGACGGACATACACTTAGAACACATGTTGGAAAAATAAGATGTGTTCTAACACGTTTCTGATGATGTTCTAAGTGGCTCACTTAGAACATGTTCTAAGCCTTCACTTAGAACAGTTGGGGTGAATTTCTCCGGCAGCAAAACGGTGTTCTAAGTGTATGATTTTTTTTTTTGAAAACACTTTGTGTTCTAAGTGTATGTCCTAGACTATAATCACTATATGATTCACCATATATTTCCGTATTCACCATATATTTCCATATTCACTATATCTTCACTATATAATCACTATATGATTCACCATATATTTCCGTATTCACCATATATTTCCATATTCACTATATCTTCACTATATCTTCACTATATAATCACTATATGATTCACCATATATTTCCATATTCACTATATATTCACTATATCTTCACTATATAATCACTATATGATTCACCATATATTTCCGTATTCACCATATATTTCCATATTCACTATATATTCACTATATCTTCACTATATAATCACTATATGATTCACCATATATTTCCGTATTCACTATATATTCACTATATCTTCACTATATAATCACTATATGATTCACCATATATTTCCGTATTCACTATATCTTCACTATATAATCACTATATGATTCATATATTTCCATACCAATTCCTGCTAATCCTCCGTTATTCCAGGCCTCCACTCGCCCCACTACGCGGCCATCGCCTACAACAAGCTGCTGCAGGCGGCCTCGGCGCAGCGACGCTGGCAGCAGGCTCTGGCGGTGCTGGCCATGATGGAACGACGGCAGGCGCGACCCGGTGATCCGGTTGGTTTTGGGTCAGGGATGGGGATGGAAAAGCTGCTGAAACCTATGGAAAATGGTGATTTCATGGGATTTTTATGGGTTTTACCTTTGAAACATGGGTGATTTCATGGGATTTCATGTTTTTTTTGCGAAATTGGTTGAATTTCATTGGAGGTTCACGGGTTTTTGACCAACAACCATATATTAATTTAATTGATGCTTTTAAATCCCATTGAAATTTTATTTTAATCCCATATATTCCCATCAACTCTCATAGAATTCCCAAAGAATCATCAAATGGGTTTGTCCGAAAATAGGGCATCTCCAAATTTATATCCGTGAATCACCACTTTCCCCATTCAAGCACCACTTGCGGAGGTATACCTGATCTTCAGACACACCCAATCTTAAATTGATTATATATCTCGTTATATTTCCAGATACTTCCAGATATTTCCAGGATATTCCATTAAACCACAATCACTATGTTGCTAAAATCACAAGACGATTCTTTTCTATTGCCATCAAATATCAATGAAATTCAGATGATCTCCAATTATGATATTACCATGTTATATATACATACATATTATGTACCACATTGTAGCCATTACATTAGCCGTTAGCCACATGAAGCGTATTATTACCATATCAATCATGATCATATGACCATATAAAAATTAACAATTATAACTTGTGGCGCCGTATGTAATCATTATTACACCGTTATATTACCAGTATTGGTAATCGTTAGAACCGTATATTAACAATCAACACATATTAACCATTAATGAACCATATAGTAGCCATTATCAACCACATATATGATATTTATAATTTATAACCACGATTAACCATTATATTAACATATGCAAAACCATTATTATACCATACCAATACCATACCAACCATATTATTACCATATTATTACCATATGATTACAATATTCACCATATATAAATATATTCACCATATATATATATATATATGTAAATAACAATATATATACATATAACCATATATATATATTTATACAACCATATATATATAACCATATATATATAACCATACATATATAACCATATATATATAACCATATATATGTAACCAAATATATATAACCATATATGTATATAACCATAAATATATAACAATATATATATAACCACATATATATATAACCACATATATATATATATAACCATATGTATATATAACCATGTATATATATAACCATATATATATAACCACATATATATATAACCATATATATATATAATCATTTATATATAACCATATATTTAACCATATATATAAATATAACCATGTATATATATTTAACCACATATATATATAACAATATATATATATAACCAAATATATATATAAGCATATATATATAATCATTTTTATATAACCATATATATATAACCATGTATATATAAATATAACCATGTATCTATATTTAACCACATATATATAACCATATATATATATAACCACATATATATATAACCATATATATAACCACATATATATTTATAACCATATATATATATAACCATATATATAACCATATATATATATATATATAACCATATATATATATATCCAGATATTTATAACCACATATATATATAACCATATATATAACCATATATATAACCATATATATAACCATATATATAACCATTTATAACCACATATATATATATATATGGATATATATACGGTTATGTATAAAAATATTACCATATGATTAACCGTTATCACACCCTTATTTCGCCATGGTAAATCCCCTTGGACTTCACGGTCTCAACTCAGGTGGCCCCTACGATGTCCACCCTGGGCTCAGCCCTGACGGCCTGCGAGCGCGTGAGTCGTTGGCGCCTGGCGCTCTTCATCCTGCACCAAGCGGTGGAAGACAGGCGCGCCACCACGCGCCGGGACGCGCCGGGAGACCAGGGAGGTGCGGATTGAAGTGGAGAAAATGGAGCTTTGGCCATCGACCCAGAAAGCTGGTGATCTTAGTCTGAGGAGGTCACCATAGATGGTAATGGAATATGATCGCACCATGAGCCGTTCAAAATAAGCTGATTCATTGATTGATTCATACAAATTTATAGGAACTAATGAGTCCCTATATTGCGCTAATCGTACGGAAACCATTTTCAACCAACTGCTGAGTCAAGCCGCCTTGTATGGTTCAAGAAATTATGAGAGGGTGCAAAACAACCAGGCTTACAGCAAACGTGACGACCTTTCTTGCACACCTTCTCATGACAAGTTCCCAAGTTGTACCATAGCAAATTGAACGTCCTTCTGCATCAACTGGTGTACCTCCTCGCAACTGAGATGGCATCGGCGTCTTCGTTGGACGCCTGTTCCTGAACTTGTCAAACTTGCCATTCTTTGGCTTTCCTCTCTTGTCAGGCTGAGGGTTCGTCTTTTTAGGCCCTCCAGCATTGTTCCCAGTGCTCGGTGCTCATCTCTCATGCAGCTGACTTTGGTTTTGGCATGAGGAGCCACATCACCGATGGCATCGTGATGATGCCTGGCACGTATGGGTCAAGCGGCAGCTCACCCGCAGGACCAAGAGGGTATCCATGAACGACGCTGCCAGTTCTCTCGCCAGTTTAAAAGGGTACTCTGCCTCTTTTGCGGTGTCAAACTGCCATTCACCTGACTCTGTCTTGCTGATGGTCCAAGCTTTGTGAGTATGATCGCCTTTGCACCTTTGTTGTAACCTTGGAGCATTGAAATTTGCCAGAAAGCCAGTAGCCTTCTTACATGCTCACATGCATCCACAACGTGATAAAAGAGGCGCTGGACCAAAGGTTTTAAAAATGGCGTCAGCCACAACAAACTGTTGGCCAGGTTTTCCACTGTGAAGGGAATGTCGTGCCGTTCGCACATCTCCACCAGCTCAGCTGAGAACTGGTACAAGCAATTTGCCACCTGCACTTTTGCACGGCTAATTCCCTTGAGCCACGGAAAACCTAAGGGAAACTTTGGGCTCCGTAGTGGCTTCGGGTTGGGTGCGCCACTTTTCAACAGCTTGCGCTTCACTGGTATGCCTGGTATGCATCGCGCTTTGAAAGCGGTTCCACAAGGCGGCCCCAAATGCACCGCTGAAAATCAGTTCCTGCACCCGGATCGGTTGTGTCAAATCCTGGGATGGGGGAATTTCTACTGGCTCACTGGCTCACGTGGCTTGGTAAATACCAAATAGTTCAACCAGAAAAGATGTGACCTGAAGAATGGGAGACTAATGGGAGTTGAACATATTTGGACAGCAGCAAAACAAATTTGGCCATGAGGAATGGGAAGAGGAGTCGCAGAGATTCAAGCCATTCACAATTTGGGTTCATAGTATGGGTTCGACCAGGCGCTTGCTGATGTGACGAACATGAGGTCTTTGGGTGCAATGAGGGGCCCATAACGTAGATGCAAATGAATTGGATCATAACTTTGCAATATCTTGTTAAAGCATTTTCATAACATATCATAATATCATCTGAATCTAGTCTAGTTTAATTTTCATATAATCCCATGTCTAATCATGTCTAATCCACATTCATGATTTCCTGGCGGCCCGGTACCTCCCATTTTGGGCAAGAGCTTTGTTGTGCCAGGTACCCTTGGAGACATTTGGAGCCCAACCTGATCTGTTTCAACAGCGTCATCGCCTCCTGCCAACACACGGCCATGTGGCACTGGTCTTTGCATCTGCTGCTTGGACGGGAGGATTCGGAGCTGTTGCCGTGTAATTTTTGTCGGGTGTTTCCTGATATGGTTGAAGCAAATACCAGGGGAAGCATGGGGAAATCATTTTCCTATGGTTTATCACATGTTTTTTCTAAAGAAATGGTAGAGATTAAATAAATAAATATATATATATATACACATACGTCCCAGTCATGGCAATTTTAATAGGGAACATTATGTTATGATTTAAACAATTTGATTATTGGGGTCTCCAAGTTTCATCAATTACAGATCCAAATCCCCAAGGGATTTTGGGTGGTTGATATTCCAGCTTGAAATGTGGTTGTGTCAATACCTTGAGAGATACGAATTGGAACCCCCCAAGAAACGCTGGACATGGTCATGTCTGGATACCATACCCATGGGGGAGTGGGGATGCCAAGGAACCCAGGACTGGGAACATATAGCCTTTAGTATATATATATATTTGTATAATATAGCGCTTTTAATACTATACAGCATTTGTGTTGATATTGTCTTAGTCGTTTTTGTTTGTTCAATTTTTGGGGATGCGTCCTCATGACACGTTTGCCGGTGTTTCATAGGAGTCACTTAGCCATTCATCTGGGTATCACGGGTCACAACAACGGCTGGAACCCACAGGTTTTGCTCATTTCCAATCTAAAACCTCATATTTTCACTGATTGGTCGTTTGGAACATGATTTTGATTTTTCAATTCAGTTGGGAATAATCATCCCAACTGGCGAACTCATATATTTTCTTTCCCAGCTGTGATCAGACCCTGGCGGGATGCCGATGTCCAGGCTCTCCACCGCCCAGCAACGCCATCTATTCCCCGACGCCGTCAGCGTCACCTCGGCGTTGCGCTGCGCGCAGCGCTATGTGGGCGACGGCCTCGCGGGGCTGCTGTCGGAGCTGCGAAGGGCGCGGCTGGTGCCGGACTCGCTGATGCTGGAGGTGTCGGAGGCGTTGATGGCCAAGGGTCACTTGGAAGATCTGATCTCTGGCCTGCCAGCGGGATAGTTTGGATTATATATATATATATATCTGTGTGTGTATATATATATATATATATATCATAAATGGGCTAATGCCCTGGTGCGCCGACCCCCTTTCAAGGGTGGAGGAAGGAAAGCGCATGTGTATATATATATAATTATACCCTAAGATTCCAAATGCTATGTTTAACTTCGCAGTTGCTCAAAGACTAAGTTTTAAAACCGCATATAGACCTAGAGCTAAGACAGACCCACTTTGCGGGGCTTAAGCAGCGTGCTGCGGCGTTGACAGAGGCGGGAACGCAGGTTGGGCCAATTGTAAGCTTTTGGAGGTGCTGACAAAGGCCGGCCAGTTTTGAGCTTTTTGAGGTTTTTAAGGGTTTTAAGGCTTTTAAGGGTTTCCAAGAGTGCCACGTAGCAGTTTCGAAACCGTATATAGAGGCGGGAACGCAGGTTTGGCCAAGTGTAAGCTTTTGGAGGTGCTGACAAAGGCCGGCCAGTTTTGAGTTTTTTGAGGTTTTAAGGGTTTTAGGTTTTAAAGGTTTGAAGGGGTTTAAGGGTTTCCAAGGATGGCTGACAAAGGCGGGAACGCTTGTGTGGCCAATTTTCAGCATTGCGAAGGTGCTGGCAAATAGTGCACAAGTAAGGCCATTGCCACGGTCGCACACCTGCAGTGATCCTGGGCGCCGCCCCGCCTAGGCCAAGGCTAGGCAGGGGTTGGCGGATATATATATATATATAATATAATATAATTTTATTTAATATAATATAATATAATTTAATATAATATAATATAATATAATTTAATATAATATAATATAATATATAATTATAATATATATATATACATATATTGTATATAAATGATATATATATATATATATGTATCAAATATCCCGTAATTAATTTGGTTAATATTATAATATTGGTGAGTGTTCGTGGGTTCCTGCGTTGGGATCATTGCAACAGGATGCAGTCCTTGGACGATATTTGGACGATAGAATGGTACGCAGGGTCTGCAGGGTGGTGCACCCGGCCCGTTGTTTTTGTTGGTTTATGAACATCAAAAAGTAGTTATAGGTACCATAAACCATAGTGATTTTTTTTTGTGCAGTGTGCAAATCGAGAGATGTGGAGAGTTGGGATCCAAGTTGGAAGGGTTTTATGTGGATATAACATGATACACACATATATATATACACAGATATCATGGATTACAAAAAGATTAAATATATAATGATATACATCATATATATATATGTATGTGTATGTGTATGTGTATGTGTAAGTGTATGTGTATGTGTATGTATATGCATACATACATACATACAAACATACAAACATACAAACATACAAACATGCATACATACATACATACATACATACATACATACATACATAGTGCGATGTAACTATTTTCATGGGTCATTAACAAAGTAAACATAGGACATACTGTTTGGATGATCTTTAGGTGATTTCAGACTGGCTGTGGATGTTAGTTACTTGGGATCATGTTGATCATAAATGACTCATTTTCCCAAACAGAATAGGCTATACAATTTTTGTTTTACAACTATAACCAACCAACATATATATATATATAACATATTTATGTATAACACTAACTTAGATGATCTTTGGAAATCCCATCTTTTATGATCCCCCATATGAAGTACGTCCATTGATCCAAGTCTAAACCAGGATATGGTTGAGTGGATATGCATAAAAAGTGATATCAGGGGGCAGGGATCATAGATGGGCAATGCAAGTAATGTGGGTAAAACAATGCCATAAACCACCCATGACTGGGAATGGTTTATACCACCTATAAAAATGGTGATTTGGGGGATGGTTTATTATTGTTTTACCCACATTAATAGGATTAATGGTGATTCTAACTGGATTCTAACCCCTAAGCACGCCTAAGCAGAACCTGTATCAGTTGTTTGGGGATACCGCCCGATGGGCCACTGGAATAGCACCAAGGGTGAAAATTCCAGTGAGGATAGCATCGCGAGAAACAGTTTTGGGATATGTTCGGTCCTTGACATTGAAAACTCGGGATTTTGAATTCGAATGAACTTAGAAGAACTCATTCAGCTGGATGTTTAAACCACTAAAACCACTATTCTGATTGGTGGTTTGGAACATGACTTTATTTTTCCATACATTGGGAATGTCAAAAACCCAACTGACGAACTCCATCATTTTTCAGAGGGGTAGGTATACCACCAACCAGATAACCATTATATATTAACCATTATTAACCATTAATTCACTATTAGCCATTAATCACCACCATTAATCACCATTAATCACTGTTAAATTAGCCATTAATCACCAACCAGATCTCCTGTCTCCTATTTCTCAGCGTTGTTTCGAAGTTTCAAACGGCTGGTTGTTGGGGGAATTGGGTTCCCAGGGTTCCACCAGGGTCATCGGCTGCTTCACCGGCTCAAGAAGCTGATCAACGACACATGGTTCGTTGGGCACATGTTGAAGGTACAGTTACCCGGCCTGGTAAACATACAAAAAACGATGGAAAATCACCATGCTATTAATGGGTAAATCCACTATAAATCATCCATTTTCAATAGCTATGTTAGTTTACCAGAGGGTATGGCCTTGGTAAAGATAGGAATGGGATGAAATAAGTCCTGTAACTAGTTGGTTATATAAATATCATTGTAAGATATTGCAAAACCAGGTATACCTGTGAAGGGCCATAACTGTAGTGTGAGTGGAATTTCCAGTTTTATAGATGATAAATAGACAAGGATTTACCTACTATTAAAATATCCAGGTGGTAGTAACCGGGTAAGTATTGTCTTGTGAGTGGAATTTCCATTTCGTGTTTATTCCAATGCTTCAGGTGAGGATATCGGTCCCGAGTGGTTCTGGAGAAACTCTGTTGCTCCCTGAGCACTCCAAAGTAGGGGACTTGAGAATTCTGGCCCAAAAAACTTTCAGAAAGGGCTTCCTGAAACTCGTCACTGTGGAGGGGCATGTCCTAACCAACCCTCAGGAATCTTTACAAGCTGCAGGGATGCAAGACGGAGAGGACCTAGCGGCTGTGGTGCAAGACGCAAAAATATCTTCGTCTGGCAAAGCATTTTCTTTGTGGTGCGGAGGAGGCAACCGGCTGGTTACCTGGGGCAATCCACGCTGGGGTGCTGACTGCGGTGCAGTCGAATGTGAGCTCAAGAATGTGGAACGAGTTCAGGCCACACTTTATGCATTTGCCGCGATCTTGTCTGATGGATCCGTGGTTAGCTGGGGCCATCGAGACAATGGTGGTGACTGCTCTGCAGTTCAAGATCAGCTGAAAAATGTTCAGCAAATTCAGGCCACACATGTAGCATTTGCGGCGATCTTGGCCGATGGATGTGTCGTTACCTGGGGTGATCCAGGCAACGGTGGTGACTGCTCAGCAGTTCAAGATCAGCTGAAAAATGTTCAGCAAATTCAGGCCACAGAAAGCGCATTTGCCGCGATCTTGGCCGATGGATGTGTCGTTACCTGGGGTGATCCAGACAACGGTGGTGACTGCTCAGCAGTTCAAGATCAGCTCAGGAATGTGCAGCAAATTCAGGTTACAGAAGGGGCATTTGCCGCGATCTTGGCCGATGGATCCGTGGTTGCATGGGGACATCCTTTTTTGTGTGGTGACTGCTTCGCAGTTCAAGATCAACTGAAAAATGTTCAGCAAATTCAGGCCACTGCTTGGGCATTTTCCGCGATCTTGTCTGATGGATCGGTGGTTAGCTGGGGCCACCCTGACCCTGGTGGCAACAGCTCCGGAGTTCAAGATCAGCTCAGGAATGTGCAGCAGCTTCAGTCCACAGATAGCGCATTTGCTGCGATTTTGGCCAATGGATCGGTAGTTACCTGGGGCGATCCATACAATGGTGGTGACTGCTCTGCAGTTCAAGGTCAGCTGAGGAATGTGCAGCAAATTCAATCAACATCTTGTGCCTTTGCAGCAATCTTGTCTGATGGATCAGTGGTTAGCTGGGGCCACCCTGACGCTGGTGGCAACAGCTCCGGAGTTCAAGATCAGCTCAGGAATGTGCAGCAGCTTCAGTCCACAGATAGCGCATTTGCCGCGATCTTGTCTGATGGATCAGTGGTTGCTTGGGGCAATCCGAACACTGGTGGTGATTGCTCTGCAGTTCAAGATCAGCTCAGGAATGTGCAGCAGCTTCAGTCCACAGATAGCGCATTTGCTGCGATTTTGGCCAATGGATCGGTAGTTACCTGGGGTGATCCAGACAACGGTGGCGACTCCTCCGCAGTTCAAGATGAGCTGCAGTATTTATAGATTTGGCACGGGCAATCAGAAAGCCGCAATGGGGTTGAAATTTTGATTTGAATGAGATCACCTGATGGCCCCAAATGACAGTTTTGAAGTTTTTCAATCATTGTTTTGAAATTCAAGGTTGAAACCACGATCCAGTGAAATTCCACTGCCTGCAGGGCTCCAACGGCGTGACAGCGTGATGCAGCCATAGGATCATTACATGGGCGTGTCAGAGAATGGTGAAAAAAGGGCCCGATCTATCTCCATTTCAAGACGCAACATATGCTGTATACATATGTATACATATGTGCCATGGTCACAGGCTGGATTGAATACTTGTATTGGAGCGTGGTCATAGCATCATTGATTCGCGATAATGGTGGGATGATCATAACCCATGTTTTGATCATGGCCCATGTGGACCATTATAATCTTACTGGTGCTAAACGCAGGGAATGAGGGAATGATCCACTGGCTAACTATCAATAATCATCCCAGCAACCCCCAGCAACCCATCCATTCTCTGCGTAAAACGCACCAGTTAGTTTTGATCACACGTGGATTAAAGAAAAACGGGGGGCTTTCACACACGTGTTCTGACCGTGGCTGCGGGAAATCTGGTAATCAAACCTGGCCAGGGGAAATCCCCAGTATGGAGGAATGAATGGGAACATCAACTACAAATGCGGAAAATTTTCCATTGCCACGTTTGATTACCCAAGGGTAACCCCATCCTCCTATTGTATATACACAACATTTCATACTCATTATTTTCTTGGTTTTCCAGTTTTTTTTTTGGGGGGCTTCGCCTTAAATCGTCATGGGGAGTTTTTGAAGGCTTTTTCGCTGTTTTTTCTGCACGTTTCGCTGCCAAGGCAAAAACTGGGCGGAGGCCCTGCAACGTCTCGACGTGGAAGGTCTCAACCTGGTTTCACTCAACTCCTTCCTGGTGATGCTGCAGAGAGGCGGGAGTGGGGGGTAGTGGTGCGGGAAAGGGACAGCCTTGGGGGGAAAGGTAACATGTCTGGGTATGGGATGAAGACATATCAACAATTGTGGGATTTATATACCCTCTGGTAATTTGTTACATAGCTATGGAAAAAATGCCATTTAGAGTTTTGATTTACCTATTAATTTCCAGTTCGCTATGTACCAAATTACCAGAGGGTACATGGATTTACACTGCAAAAGATTCTTATGATTTGCATCTGGATACTTTGGATGATTCCTTTTTAGTGGGAGGATTCCCAACAAATGAACATTTGGAGGCGACATGAATCATCCTGTTTGTAACATATTTTTTTAAAGCCACAAACTAAACCTAATATTTTTGGATGGCTTACTATAGCTGATTGGTGGTTTGGAACATGTTTTATTTTTCCCATCATATTGGGAATGTCATCATCCCAACGGACTTTCATATTTTTCAGAGGGGTGGCTCAACCACCAAGTTTTCATCTTTTGCAAAAGAAATGGGGGAATTTTTGCTAAGCATGCAGCTGAAACTGATGTGCCTCTTGCAGGCGCCTACCTGGTTCCAAGTCGTTCCAATCCTCCAACATACAAGGTGGTGACCCCTCACTTATTAGTTGGTCAAACAGCCCATTAACTACAGATATATCATGATATATCACATATTATATATATATATCTATCTGCCATAAATCATAGTTTATTGCAGTTATGTTCACCAGCTTAGCCAACTAGTTTTCATTGTATAAGTCCCATTCAGTCATCAAACACAAAAGTGAAACGTCACCAAGAGTTGACACAAAAAACTTTGCCACCGCGGTACCTTGGAACCACCCGATTTCATGACTCTAGTGTCCAGAGGTTAGAGCCAGCTGAATGACACAAACTTCTAAACTGGCTGGTTGGTGGTTTGGAACATTTTATATTTTCCATAATATCTGGGAAAATCCTTCCCATTGACTTTCATATTTTTCAGAGGGGTAGGTATACCACCAACCAGCTGGCTAATGTGACAATTTGGGCAAACTTCCCCCATTGACCCATGCATTCCCCACTCTTCCTTGGGAGCCAACAACAGCAATGTGTTTCTTTCATTTCTTGCTGATTTGCATATTTTGCGCATAAGAAATCCTGGCTGGAAATTGTTACAGAATCATCGCTGGTTCACCTTGGGTTCTTCAAAAAAATGGCCATGGCTGTTGTCATTTGGGCCTGAAAATCGAGCCCATTTCATCCATTGGATTATCAGTGTCTCCCTAAAAAATCGCCAATTTCTGGGTGTGATTTCCCCCATGTTTTTGACCCATTTCATCCCGTGTCTAGTAGGGATTCACATCTTAGGGATGAAATCCATAGTTTGGGGGATTCATCTGATTTTCTGTCAAAGTTATTGAAGATTCCATCCCGCTGCAGTGCCGAAATGTGCCGAACTGTTTCTTCACATCTTTGGTCCATCGAAATGGTGCATCGGCATAAGTGGGCAATCATCCTATAACCAGTGAATCTCACTGGGGATATCCCATGAATCTCATGCTTCCGAAAACCACTTAAGCTAAGATAAATACTTTTTTAAGCCCTTAAAAATAAGTCACGAAAAAACTGGCTCCCATTGATATCTGGGTAAGCAGGCGCCCCGTTCGTGTATTCTGATTGCAAGCCATGGTCAACCATTTTCCGTGGTGTCCCAAAACTCATTCTGGTTGAACATGCCATGACACCTTTGTTTATGCTGGCGCTGTTAGCGACCAGGAAACACAATTTTATAGTTTTTAGGGGTTTCGGGTGGGGGGTTGGGGGGTGCAATAACGTTTAATAGCATTTGCATTTGTAGAAGATACAATGTTACTCGACGTTGCTTGTAAGGTGCAGGTGATGCCGCGCTACTGAAAGGTGACTTCATCTAATGTAATTTATGCTACGATATGTAATGTTGACTTCTCCTAACATAGATGATGTTTTGCTATGTCAGGTTAAGTTGAACTAGCAGCATACATCATTGTATGCTGCTCAAACAAATCTTGCACTTGCACACATGTCTTGCACGCTCAGGGGATTGCAATCACGTTGACGCTGACCTGCACTAACATACGTGATGTTACGCTACTTGCTTTTGATCGTGGGGGTTTCGGGTGGGTGGGGGGGTGGGGGGGGTGCAATAACGTTCAATAGCGCTTGCATACATACAAGATGCTGCGCTACTTTACGTGAACTTCAGTTCGAATAAGATGAGATGCTACTTCAAAATAACCTCTTGTCATATACGTAATGCTATGCTAAATCAAGCACGCTTCATGTAACATAGATGTTGCTACGCTACTTGACGTTAACTTAATTTTAAATAAAAAGTTATGTTACTTGAAGTTAGATAACTTCATGTAACATAGACGATGCTTAGCTACGTAAAGTTAATATCATATCAAATATATAACATGCCATGCTACTTGAAGTTCATTTCATATACATAGATGAGACTGCGCTACTTAACGATAACTTCATTTCAAATAAGATATCTCTTGTGAGAAAGTTGGGTTTTTGTTTTTTTCAAAAAAAGAATCCTGAAAACCGCAATTCCACTGGCCTAAAATGAAAAAAGGCTGGTCTTCTTGCAAATACCAACGAATTTGAAGCCTTGAAATTTTGACTTCCACATAAACAAATGCAGGTTTTGAGCTCTTGCCATTTTGAACAATGTTCAAATTCCTCAGGGTCGCGGCGCCGGTACCTTGTTTATTGCCTAGATTCAAATCCCGTGAAATCACATAGCTAATCACATAGCTAATGAGCTAAATCATTAAATCCCATGAAGAAATGGCATTTTCAGAACCTGTAAAGCCACTGGGATTTTGCCTCGCTTCTGCGGAGGTGGAGCTCCCTGGCAGTTGGCGCTGCAACTCTTTCAGAAGAGCTCCGTCGATGCCATCAGCATCTCGAGCATGGTGGCGATACAGGAGGAGATGACACGCCGGACACGGTGAAAACGGGTTGGTGTTTGCAGTTGTAGTTATAGGGCCCGCAAGATGTAGCGTTCAGAAACGCCGAACATAAAAGTATAAGTGGCTGAATTCTATGGTTTATGCTAGATATAGCATGATATCGCCTTATAAGTGGCTGAATTCTATGGTTTATGGTAGATAGAACATGATATAACGAAATAGTTAATGGGGTTTATAAACCAACGTTCACATACCTGGGGCACCATCCCCAGAGAGGATGGGATGCATGGGTCGAGGTTTTTAACCGTGGGATGTATTGAAACTCACGTGTATTCACCAAAAAGAAGCAGTACTGCAGGGTAGTAAAACCATGTTGTTCAACACATCAAACAAACGAACAGTGATTTCACGAGAGATTTTCGGTTTTCGTCAACTGTTTGTAGATGTAGAAAGTAGTTAGTGGTTTTACCCTCTGGTGAATTAACATAACTATGGAAAATCACCATTTTCAATGGGAAGATCTACTATACATGGTCATTTTCAATAGCTATGTTAGTTTACCAGAGGGTAAGCTGATTTGAGTGAAGTGGCGAGTTTCAGGAGTCAATTGACGTTAACCGAGCAATTCTTTCAGTGTGGGTGTTGTCGTCATCTTAAGATGATTTTAGCAAATTGATCTTGCTTGACCAACTGGTGAAGGGTTAAGTTGCGATTTCTAGTGAACAACATGAAATTTTCAAGTGTCAGGAATGAATCTGTACCTAGTCCATGAACATGGCGACATATCGAATGAACAAAGGGATATACAGTAGCCTAGTAAAGATGATGATACCCGCAAAACTTGAGTTCTTTTTTTTCATTTGTTTGCAATGTGTATCAAAAAACAGATGAGGGTTTCACCAACAAGAATTGGGCATAGACCAAGGAATATGGGACAACCAAACAAGGCAATGAGAAACGCCACTTGTCATTGGGAAAATCATCGCAATCCATGCGCAAACCTGGTGGATTTTGATTGCCAATTTAAGTTACCAGAAGATGACTATAAAAAGAGGTGGACAACCACTGGCTTCCTTAGTAACGGCGATGTCATGTGCATTCAGCTTTTCTACGGCTCGAGATGTTGCACGGAGGACAATTCTTGCGGATTTTTTGTCAATGCTTCGAGTAGTTGTATCCTTCCCAAGTGGTTCTGGCCAAACTCTGTCACTTCCTGAACTCTCCAAAGTGGGAGACTTGAAAATTCTGGCCCAAAGATCTCTCCGACAGGGTTTCCTGAAACTCGTGACTGTGGAAGGACATGTACTGACCAACCCTCAGGAATCATTGCAAGATGCAGGGGTGCAAGACGGAGAGCACCTAACTGCTGTGGCACAACATGCAAGAGCAACGGCAACAGGTGCAGCTTTTGCAGTGTGGTGCTGTGGAGGGAACAGGATAATTACCTGGGGAAACTTCATGCCTAGTAGAGACTGCGACTGCTGCACAGTTCAAGATCAGCTGCGGAATGTGCAGCAGATGAAAGCCACGGGTGATGCATTTGCAGCGATCTTGGCCGATGGATCAGTGGTTGCGTGGGGAGATCCGTACTGTGGTGGTGACTGTTCCGCAGTTCAAGATCAGCTGAGAAATGTGCAGCAGATCCAGGCTACAGATAAGGCATTTGCCGCGATCTTGGCTGATGGATCGGTGGTTGCCTGGGGCGATCCATACTGGGGTGGTGACTGTTCTGCTGTTCAAGATGAGTTTCAGTATTTGTAGAAGAATGTCCTGTCCATATGTTGCATATCTATTCTTGGCATATTGTACAACTTGTAAGGAAGTGACATTTCCACAGTGTACAGCCCACGAGCCGCAATTGACAGCTGCTGCAGGAGGGATTTGCTCACCTTTACGGCCCGCATAGTCCAAGTTTTGGAGTTGTGAGTGGCTGGATTTATCCAGTAATAGTACTACTGCTTGGTGGTTTGGAACATGAATGGATCATGATTTTCCCATCATATTGGGAACACTAATCATCCCAAGTGACTCATGTTTTTCGGAGGGGTTGAAAGTTGAAACTACTATACCACCAACCAGATACGAATCTAGGTTAGTTAACTAGTTGGTAGCCATGGATTATTTCATTGGGATTTTTTGAGGGTAAAGAATATTCCCAGTTACTAACCAGGAATCGGCAACATCCCATTGCCCATCTAAGTAGGATACGAATCTGAAAACCGGGGAATCTCATTCATTCTGTATAACTGTATAACTATGGTATAACTATGGTAATAACTATGGGTATAACTATGGTAATAACGGTAAAATGTCAATACTGGCATTGTTTGTTTCATCAGGGGAAAAATAAATACCCCGATTTTCAAAGACAAATATCATGCTGGTTGTTATCCCACTCGACAGAGCCATTTGTATGGTATTAGATGTGTTAAAAACCCCATGTTTGTTGGTTAAATCCTCTTAAATCACCATGTTTCGTGGTGACGTCAGATTTTTCTGTGGCTAAATACCATATAGATACTGATAGGGTGTACTTATCCTCCCGATCAAGTTGACCGCGGCTGGCGGACTTGCAATGTGTTATAGATGGAGGTTTCCTGAAATGGGGATACCCCTAAATCATGCATTTTAATCAGAGTTTCCATATAAACATAAACCATCCATTTTGGGGTACCACCATTTTAGGAAACCACCACACATATGTATATATATATGTATATATATATATGTATATATATATATATATTACTGATTACATATATATATATTACACACACATATATATATATAGTATTTGTTCCTTCTAGGTGGCATCTCCATGATTGTTAGGTATACTGCCCAGGATCCTGAGGATACCAATCGGATTCCAAAAGTCACCGGATTCGCAACCTGTCGACTGGGTTCCCAAGCAGCGGCCTGGGGACTCAATCGTTGACCCAGCAGCAAGGTGGTACGGAAGTGATGTGAACGTTGGTTTAGAATTCACCTAGTTATCAGTTCACTTAGCCAACATAAATCAGCTATGAATCCCTGTAAATTCTCATTTTTCTTGGTTTCTTAGCATGTTTCTTCGAGATTTCCTATGGTTTTCCTTAAGGCCCTGGGGCACCACCGCCGCGGCCAGGACTGTCAACAGCTTCCCGCGCTGCTCGGCTGCGTCCCGCTGCTGCAGAGGCGCTTGGCCCAGATGCTTCGGGACGTGGCGCTGCCGCAGATGCACTGCAGCAACGGATGCGAAGCGAAGAAAGGGTGGACGTGCCGGACTATACCCTCTGGTAAACTAACATAGCTACTGGAAATGGCCATAGAAATAGTGGATTTACCCATTAAACATGGTGATTTTCCATAGTTACGTTAGTTTACCAGAGGGTAAATTGGTTTATAAATTATAAACCATTAGTTAATAACTACGTATAGTAATTGGCATCCAAAACTATTTATATAGTTTATGATAACTATTGGTTATTAACTATAGTAATGTTAACCATAGTTCATAATACTGGCTAATACATGTTAATACCATAATAATGGACAGTATAATGGATGCAGAATGGATGATCATGGATGATAATTATAAGTTGGATTATAAACCATAGTTAATAACTATAGTAATTGGTATCCATAACTATTTATAGTTTTTTTGAGAACTATTGGTTATGAACTATAGTAATAAGTATGGGATGATGGACTATACTTCGATGGGCCATGGAGTTAATTAACTAGTTAGTAAATGGATGTCAATGGATTATTTCATTGGGATATAGGGGGTTATAACCCCAGTTACTAACCAGGAATCGTTAATCCTCTGGCCCATCCAAGTAACCCATGAAAATGGGGATATGATATATGATATGTTATATATTGATATATGAGTTGGTTTTTTTTGTTGGGAGAAAAATGGGAGAAAGATGGGATTGAACTATAGTAACTACGGACACATGTGGTGATTTAAATGGTGATTTAAATGATTGCAGCAACGGATGCACGGCGTTTTTTCTCAAGGGTGGAGCTGCCAATGGGAACCATTCTGAACATAGGGAATAGAATGGGAGTCAAAGCGAGAAGAAACATGTGATTTTGGCTATCGACCCTGGGATATCGACCCATCCCCGTCATGATTTTGGGATGTTTACCATCCTCAAATGCTAGATCTGTGGCGGTTTACCACATTAGGCTTTGAGATACCCGAAGAACTCTCCATTACCCTCTGGTAAACTAACATAACTATTGAAAATGGCCCAGTCGAAATAGTTGATTTAGCCATTAATAGCATGGTGATTTCCAATAGTTATGTAACAAATTACCATAGGGTATCAGGAACTTGGTGCTTTTTGAACATGTTGTTGATTGCTGACTCCGCAGATATGTTGCAATATGTTTTTGTAGATGAAGATCCTCGCAGCACCTTGTTGTAGGTAGATGTGGGTAGATGCACCCAGTCGCTTAGTGTGTCGTGGAGGATACCATCTGGTTATTTAACATAGCCATGGAAAATCCCTTATAAATGGACGTTTTAATGGGAAGATCATCTATAATGGGCCATTTTCCATGGCTATGTTCAATAACCAGATGGTACATCCCTTTGATGCCCGGACCCTCTGTGTGTCTGCTATAAATCTCATTGAACCGATTGCAAACCTCCAGCAAACTAAGGGTTCCTCAAAATCGATATTGAACCCAGACAAAGCTGACCAAGCTGACCAGCGGTTGTAAACTCCAAAATTCACATCCCAGAATTGGTGGAACATTTTAAGCGGAACCCCCGGTCGGGGAATCTTTTTTGGGAATTCATTCACCACTAAATCCCATCAATCCACCATCAAATCAGCATGTAAATCACCATTTCTGCTGGTTAGGTCCCATGATGTCCCATGAAAAATCACCGCGTTTTGTTCCTTAAATCCTCAATGTCAACCCCCATGAAATCCCCAGTAAATCACCATTGTTGTTGTTCAAATTCCATCCAAATCACAATGAAATCCCCATGAAATCACCATGAAATCACAGTTATATATTTGGAGCCATGAAATCCCCATGAAATCACCATGAAACCAGGCTTTCAACCCTTCAAAAAGTCCAGGAAAGAGCGTGGCCATCAACGGCTTCGACCTTCTGGCAGCTCTGGGTCTGATGCCAATGCCAAGTCGAAGGGCTCTGGAAGAGCGCTGGCAAAAAATGGCCTGGTTAATGGTGGTTTCAAGGGATTTAGCCAACACAAATGGTGATTTAATCGAATTTACTGGGACTTAATGGTGATTTCAGGGGATTTAGCCAACAAAAAGGTGATTTTTCATGGGTTTTCAGCATGCAAAAATGATGATTTCATGGGAGTGAAGTGAGAACAAATCGTGATTTCACGGGAGTGAACCAACAAAAAAGTGTGATTTCATATTTCATGGGATTCTCTACGGTCGTATTTATTTTTTTTCCCCGGTCACTGGAGGTTGTCTGATTCTGGGTCATTCCAATTCCAACTCATTCTAAGGGGATACCCCAATGATGAGAAACATCCAGTTCTGTATCACCACAGGAATGAACTTTGGACTTTGGACCCTCTAAGTTGTGTTTTTCTTGTGGAACTGGAAGAACCCATGACACTGGCGAGTCATTTGGATGCTGCTTTCATTTTGTTTCCTCCATCCTAACTGGGATGATGACCCCTTTCTGGACTCATATTTTTGGGATGTATTGACAAATATTGATGTTGTTGAGCTGGTGTCCAAAGCATTCCAAACGCGATGCCAGGTCCAAACAGATCCAGGTCCATACACGCGTGTTTGTATATATTAGCTTCTGGAGGAATACATGCATGATATGCATTGGAGTCAGCAAGTGGTTGATTTATATAACCTCCGTTCTAGCTGCTACTCGTAGCTTTATCTCAGTTTGGATTGGAATATTGCAAAGTTACGAAGTTACAGCTTCTCAAGGAGCTTGGGATGCACATCCAATAGAAGGTCTCCCCATTTTCATGCTTCAATGGTTCCTATATGTTCCTATATTTGGACGATGGACAATTTGGAGAACCCCCCCGTAAAGAAATATTGGAGGGGGCAGAAAAAACCCATGGTTGTGCGGGTTCGATCTTCCCATGAAAATCAATCTTTCGTTGTATCCCATGATATCCCATTATATCCCGATTAGATCTCCCGTTTGCCATTGTATCTCCATGATATGGTAGTAGAAAAAAACTGGTATTACAGCATGTTTTCTTTCTTTCTCATCTTTTTCCCACATTTTCTCATGAAAAGTCAGGCCAAGACTCTTCGTTTGCTTCAGCACGACCTGGCTGCGCTCGACCACCGGACCTCGCATCTGGAAGAGATGCCCACGGCGGGGACGCTGCTGACGCGGGAGTTGATGCGGTGGGAAAAGGTGCTGGAGCTGGGTGGAGCAAGGGGGATTACATGATATTAATATACATGTAATATCAGAATAATCTGATTATATATATATAATTTGTATCTAATTGCTGGGTGTTGATTATATGTACGTTTATATCAGATTATAATTTCTATGTTTATTTATATTTATATAAAGAATGAGCAATGGTTTACATCGTGACATACATGATTATATATATATGATAGATTATGAAACATGTTATCAGATACTATAAAAATTCTATACATATACATGTATATAAATATATATGATAGATTATCTACATGAGTAGTTGCCTTGATGATGACATGAGCAATTGCCGCAAGCAGGGTATAGTAACATCACACCGACGTGTGTTTACACATGCTGAATATGAAATCCCATCCCTCCAATATTGAGCTGCCCGCAAATGGTCCCAAATAAGTGATTTCATCCCCTACTAAACCATATGGTTTCTTGGGGGTGTTTAGTTCAGGGCAGGGGAAGGGATTAATCTACCGATCATATCTCCATTATAAATACCGTCAAATCCCATGAAATCACCATTGATTTCGCGTTCTGAACGCAGACGATTGAGTATTTATCCATGTCTATATCCAATATCTACATCTAACAAAAATATTTTGCACATAACACATATTATCTTAATTTATCTTATGTCCATAGTATATGAATATTGTATACATATATCTCCGTTATTTCACAGTAAATAACTGTCGATTTCGCATTCTTCACAGACCAAATGTATATTTCTGATTTTCTGGTACATGAGTTTATATGATAGATATATAATATCAATCGACTCGATATTTATGTGTATATGTTTGACCAGCAAGGCATAGATGTTCAGCTCCGCAGGCAGCGGTGCCGCCGGTTCCCAGCAAGTTCATGCTGTCCTTGGCTCAGTGGGTGGACTAGTCAGGTGGTGATTTAACTGTGATTTACTAGGTTTAACGGATTGATGGTGGTGATTTTACCAGGATTGAATGGGCGATTGATGGGTGATCACCAGGTGATGGATGGTGGTGATTTTTCAGAAACTATGGTGATTTCCATGGGGATTTCTCGGAGTGTCAAAGCAACAAACATGGGGTTAACCAAGCATCCTGGAGGTGCCTACGTGTTGGGTGCAGACATATTGAACTAGTCGTGTTGGAACATGAAGCAACAAACAAAACCTGGAGGGCACCACATTGCAGCATAGACCAATATATTCCCATTGCATCCCCACTAGGCGAATTATGTGCGGTTTTTAACAAATACACTGGCATCCAATCTGAATATCCCCCATTTTTGTTCGCCAAAAATGGGCACAGGTTTCAATGGGGGCTTTCTACCAGGAACAGTGCCCCCCGAAAAAAAGTCCCAGCTGTGTAGGTACCTCCGTGCAGATGAAACTGTGGATATTGACACGGCGTTGCAGGAGCTGGGCGTTGTAGCCGTGATGGGTAAAGAGTCCCAAAAAATATCCCAAAATGATCGGTATATTAGCTGGATATTTGTCTACCTGGAGATAATAGAGAGTCAAGGTATTTTAAGAACCTTACTGGATATACGAATCATATCCAATCATTAATGATAAATGAGCTGGATGACAGGCAAATTTGTCGAATACCTGTCGAGTCTAGGTATTTTAAGTTTTACTGGAGGGTCTGAGGGGACATAACTTGCGAGAGTTGTGATATTTGTGAACAACATGAGATTTGAAGTGCCAGGAATTGGTATCTACATAGTCCATGAACATGGAGAGATATCCGATACACAAGGGGAGATAGCTACAGTAGGGAAGACAAGGACACCAGTACAAGGGAACCCAGTGTTTTCAAACGGTGTGGTTTCAACTAAACAAATTCTGGAATGTGTATCAAAAACTGAGAATTTCGGTTCAACCAGCAAAAACATGGAATAGACCAAGGAAACATGGGGCAAAACTTGAGTAGCGGGAAACACCACTTGTCAAAAAAAATCACAATCCTATCCATGGACAAAAAAAAAGGGTGGATTCTGCCAGGTCAAATTGCCAGTGTCGGTATCTCTATGCAAAAAGGGATGGACAGCGTCGACGGACAGCCTTTGTGTCGATGTCGCCCCAGGGTGACGCGCCTCGACGGCTCGACGGCTCGACGGTGTTTCTTGATTCTGAAGGAATGCTTCGAGTAGTTGTATCCTTCCCAAGTGGTTCTGGCCAAACTCTGTCACTTCCTGAACTCTCCAAAGTGGGAGACTTGAAAATTCTGGCCCAGAGATCTCTCGGGCAGGGTTTCCTGAAACTCGTGACTCTGGAAGGACATGTACTGACCAACCCTCAGGAATCATTGCAAGATGCAGGGGTGCAAGACGGAGAGCACCTAACTGCTGTGGCACAGCAGGTGCAAGTAGCTGCAACTGATAGAGCGTTTGCTGCGTGGTGCTGTGGAGGGAACAAGATAGTTGCCTGGGGCAATGTCATGCCTCATTGGGAAGTTCAACTTCAGCTCCGTAATGTGGAACAAATTCAGGCCACACGTGACGGTGCCTTTGCTGCAATCTTGGCTGATGGATCAGCGATTGCTTGGGGAGATCCGCACTGTGGTGGTGACTGCTCTGAGGTTCAAGATCAGCTCTGTAATGTGCAGCATATTCAGGCCACAGGTCAAGCATTTGCTGCGATCTTGGCCGATTGGTCAGTGGTTGCCTGGGGCGAGCCAGACCGTGGTGGTGACTGCTCCACAGTTCAAGATCAGCTCAGGAATGTGCGTCAAATTCAGGCCTCAGGCGATGCATTTGCCGCTATCTTGGACGATGGATCTGTTGTTTCCTGGGGTGATCCAGAGTGCGGTGGTGACTGCTCCACAGTTCAAGATCAGCTCAGGAATGTGCGTCAAATTCAGGCCACAGAAAGCGCATTTGCCGTGATCTTGGCAGATGGATCTGTGGTTGCCTGGGGCCATCCAGAGTGCGGTGGTGACTGCTCCACAGTTCAAGATCAGCTCAGGAATGTGCGTCAAATTCAGGCCACAGGCGGTGCATTTGCCGCTATCTTGGACGATGGATCTGTTGTTACCTGGGGATGTCCAGACTCTGGTGGTGACAGCTCCACAGTTCAGGATCAGCTGATGAACGTGCAGCAAATCCAGGCTACAGATAAGGCATTTGCTGCGATCTTGGCTGATGGATCAGTGGTTGCCTGGGGCGATCCGGACTGCGGCGGTGACTGTTCTGCTGTTGAAGACGAGTTCCAGTATTTGTAGATTTTGCATATAAGTTTTGCATATTTTACATTGTTCGGAAGTATGGTTTCCACAGCATGCAGCCAGCTAGGGAGGAGCATTTGAATGCTGAAAAAGAAAGCTGCTGTAGTTGCGAGGCTGCCATGAGGCACCCACTCGTGAATGGGCTTACTTCACCTTACTTGCCAAAGTAAGATGGACTATCCAAAGGTTTTTCTGGACGCAGGGCACTTTGGGGTGTGAGAGAACATCATATCCAAGTTATTATAGGGTTCTAAGACTGTAAATCCAATGAGTGTCGGTAAATCCCCTTAAATTATATACACTTTTTCTTGGTTGAGTCGCCATTTTCTTGGCTAAACACCATAGCCATATAGTGATAGGGCACAGTTAGCTTCCCGGTAGTTGGCACATGTTGGCACATCAGGTGTGTCGCCCTTCTAGTAAGGGGTTGGTAAATGTCCCACCCGTTAGAGATTATATTAATATCACGTAGTATCCCCATGTAAAAATGGCTGACACCAAAAATCTCTCAACATGGACCATGTTTAACTGTTTAACATGTCATCCGGCAAGGTACCCTTTGGAAGACTCATCGTTTGCTGTTAATAAACAATCCAATCTTTAAGAACCGTAAATCATATATATATAAACCATTTATTTCTAATATATATATATACGGTAACGACATTTAAATATGTGGAGGGCAGGCCAGACCGCGAGGCCCCGGAGGTAGTATGAAATACCAGTTCGTATATTTAAATGTAGCTACCGCATGTTTAAATGAATTGGATTCCGTATGTTTAAATGGCCGGGCGGGCCAAGGAAAACCTTCCCGGAGGTAGTCTAAAATACCAGTTCGTATATTTAAAAGTCCGTATATTTAAATGTAGTTACCGTATATATATATATATGTATAAATCATTTATTTCTAATATATATATATATATATCAATCATTTATTTCTATAACCCATTCCCCATAGCTATGTTTTAAAACCAGAGGGGAACTATAGCTTCCCATGGGGAAATCCCATGAAGTTTCGATGATCAACGGACGCTTCCACCCCTGGATGACCGAACATGATGAGTTACGGAAAGTTCACGCTGGACACCTCCAACCAATGCGCAGTTTCCTGTAATCAGTACTGAAATCAATGAATTGATAGAAATTTATATTCATATGGATTTGCTCAATGGATTCAATGGAACATTTATATGGGAAGCTTAGATAGAAATCTTTGCATGGACTGAAATCAATATGCAAGATTAACAATTAGTTGGAACATTTCAGTCAGTCGAAAGGACATTTTGAATTGGGATCACAAGATCCCATTTTTAGGTACGGGTACCTGAAGCTTGAAACCACCAACCACAACAATTTCTTGGCTGACATTCCATTTTGGGGAGTCACATCCTTTTTCTAGATGCTCAGTATCATATCCGTACTCCCTGGGTAAGCCTTGTTTGAGTAGGTGAGCGAGATTTGTGGGGCATTTTTTTTGGCTACCAATGGAGGAAATCCATACCACGTTTCTTTTTGCGATTGGTATCTATGCTTGGCTATGCTGCCAATTGGTCAACTGAAATAAACCTGGAGCATTTTTGATATATATATATATAACTGCGTACTGCTCATGGTATAACCAGGGTTTATGGTAGATATGTTTGCAGCTGGATTGGTTTTAAGCAACCTTAAGGGGATTGTGTGCAATCCGAATTAATTGGGTAGTGGTATATAATATAGTTAGCCAAACCATACTACGTAAACTAAGCATAATTCAAATATTAGAACTTATCTACCACAATTCCAATATCA